TAGAAACTTTTTTTTGGCCTTTACAGCAGCAGCCAAATTAAATTCCAGTTAAGCTTTAGCCCTGCATACCCCGACACCCTTGAATTTCTTCTGAGTTACCTGCCCCTTCTTCCAAAGGTCATATGCTCCCTTTTCCCCCTGAGCTCCAGCCAAAGCTTCCTGTTCAGCCAGGCTGGTCTCCTTCCCTGCTGGCACATTTCTCAGCATGTGGAATCATCTGCTCCTGTGCCTTTAAAATTTCTTTCTTAGAAGCACATCCAACCTTCCTGAACTCCTTTGCCTTCCAGTGTTGCCTCCCAAGGGACTCTGACAACCTTTTCAATGAGAGGAGGCCTTTAATTCATCAGCTCTCCTCCACCTGCTCTTGCTTTCAGATAATTCCTGCATCTCATAGAGGCAAAGGGAGAAAAGTCTTCATCCCAATGCTGATTTCCAAACTATAAATATCTTTTCCTATGTGGTAAGGAGGGTCCTTAGACTGGATGGAGCCAAACCTTCCATGGGAACACACCCTTGTCTTGTGTGTTTTGTTTTTATTTGGTCTTTTTTCTTCCCCAGAACGGGGCTTCTCTTCCCATGTTAGGTGACTCCTCCCAGATGAGGAAATGCCTTCCCTGAAAAGTCCTCAGTGCATCCCTGACTACATCACCAAATGTTCAGATGTGTTCTTACCTCAAGGGAACTGCCAGGAAAGATTATTTTCCACTGGACCTTAATTACCTGCTGCTCCTTCCAACTGGCCAAAAAAAGAATACAAGGAGAGGCTTCAGTAACTTTGGGATTAAACTGAGCAGGCACAAGATAAACCAGCTGGCAGGCTTGAAGGAGCGACTCAGCTTCATTTTCTCCTTTGTTCATGGGTCTTTGCACCTGCCCCTGAGCTTTAATGAATGTTTCACAGAGCCCCAGGAGCCACAAACTAATTCTGAGTGGTTCCCAAAGCTGCCGAGGGATTCTTACCCAGGATCATTATTTGCTTCCCAGAGGGATGTCTCTGTATCGTAAAGAAATGCAGCTGCTACAGTATCCTTATCTGAAGGGCAAAGTTTTTTGGGTTTGGGGAGTTTTTTCCTCATTGTTTAAAAAAAAAAAAAGTACGTTGGTGGTTTGAATTTAAAAGAAGATGAATAAATACATAAAATCCTTTGCTTGACCACTGAGTCAGGGAGCAGCTCCAATTCCCAGAGCCTGTGCTGCAGCCAGCCAGGGGCTCTGCTGAGCTGCTGCTCTCAGATGTTGGCCTTACTCCTCCCCTGGCACTTGCTGCACCCAGTCCAGGGTCACCCTGGCTGCCCTCCAGCCTCTCCCTGCCCACCAGCTCAGCCCTGCCACGCGCCCCAGCAGCACCTGAGCCCAGGACCTGCACGGGGCACAAGGGAAGGGTTCTCTCACCTGGTTACTGCAGAGTCCTGCTGCTGTTTGCTGTCAGCCCCGTGTGCAGCTCGGGGGCACCTGGAGCAGGTGGGGCTGGGAAGTGCAGCTCAGCAGTGCCTTTCATCCCACTGAGCAGGGCCTCCAGCAGGACATCCTTCCTCTCCCTCTCCTGCTTTGCAAATGGAAGATCACAGGAGTTTCTGGAAAAGCATCTGGGGCCAGAGCTGGGGCAGCCAAGGGAAGTTTCACCCAGACGCCAGCCTGAGCTGAGGCATGGCTGCTTCAGTTACTGCTGACCAACACAAGACTCACACTTCTCTTTCTGAGGTGATGCCCAGAACCACGTCCCTGCTCTCCCAGTAATGCACACCCCCCTCCCAGTGTCCCCACTCTCCCTGCCGAAGCCCCACACAGACCCTGGGGAGGCCCCATGTCCTTGAGCCAGGCCTTGTTCAGCCCAAGAGGGATTCAGAATCCGTGAGTGCCCTCCCAGAGCCTGGAGAGCCAGCACAGAGCCCTGCAGCCCCCAGCCCAACTCTGTCACAGCATCCCCCTCTCACTGCTGCCTGGGGCTTCTCGTGCAAGTCCCTTCCCTCCCTGATTCTCTGTCAGGACAGGATTGCTCATTTCCTCACAGGGCTGGGGAGGTCAACTTCACCCTCAAATGCTCATGATGGTTTTTTTCCCATAATTTCAAAGGAAGCTCTTAACTCCCTGAGATTCTGTTGTTGTCAGCATCAGAAAATTCTGTAACTTTTTTATCTCTTCTCTGCGTGCTTATCCATTCCCACAAGGAAGGGCAAGGGCTGCATTTCCCAGCTGGGAAACAAGGGCAGTGACGTTAAGGCAAGGAAAAAGAGCAGAGATGAGCTTGACCTTCGGGTTTCCAGGCTTATGGAGTAAGCCTGAATCACCCTTCCTCTCCCACCACCACACCTGCCCCTTTGGTAGCATTCCTTGGCAGCCCAGGAGAAAATCCAGCAGCCTGGAAGCTCAGACTCATGTGTGCCAGGAGCTGTTCATACTCTGATTAATGAAGATAAGTCACCCATTGTACTGATGCTCAGAGGGTGGAATGACACCAGAAGGAAAACAGTATCCCTACAAGCTGGTGTGGCAGGAGAGGAGACTATTTCTTCATACTTAAACATCTATTAGGAAACAGTTGTCAGCACGTTTCTATTTCCAATATCCAGTCCTGCACAAGAGCAGAAGATCCACAGGATCTTCAGGCTTCACGACACAAACTTCATTACTGTGGAACATTTCCTGCCTCCTAAATGGATTTTAGTTTGCCTGATCAGGTTTAATTTTTATTTATGGCATGAGTTTTCCAGTGAGCTCAAGCCCAGGAAATGGGCACTGTGTGCAATTCCTGGTGCATCCTGTAACAAACCCCTCAGCTCTGTGCTGAAAGCAGAGACTTTCTCTGCAGTTTGTCACCCTGCAGCAAGAGTGAATCATTCTCTGCACCCAAAAGCTGCTCTGATTTTCTATCAACTAAGACTCACAGCCAGTAAGAAACCTCTGGTTTTCATGGGTGTGGGATTTGGGACCAACCTGAATAATAAATTTGGTTTATTTACCCTCTCAGGCATTTCAGTAGGAAAGGGAGGGTTAGACTCTGTAAGTCTTGCTCCTGTGTCCATCTTTTTACTGGAAAAGAAAGTCTGCCCCAGGAGGGGTGAGGAATGGGGTGAGCTGCTGGGAACAGCTCAGCTGGATTCCTGGACAGGAGTGCACTGAAGCTGAGTCTTCCTCCAGGAAAGGGCTCTTCCTGCCCTGGGCCCAGGGAGGAAGCCAGAGCTCCCACCACCACTTGAAAAGCTGCTCAGAGCAGAGGTAGGAACAGCCAAAGCTGCCTCTGAACTCCCTCTCATGACTTGGTTATCTTCACTTCCATCCCCCCAAGGAGGCAACTCCCAGCAACTTGTAGGAATTCAGTTTGGGAATAGTACAGCAGTGAGCCCAAACCTCCCTCCAGGTGGGTTCTCAAAGCCTCACTGACACATTCAAGTCTTGCTTCCCAGGAGAGCTTCTGATTTTTAGTTCCCCATGAACAGATATATGGATGTAATATATATAGTATAAATAATTTAAAAATGGAACAAAAACCACCCCCAAAACAATTAAGGGGTAAATACAGCAAAGTTTTCAAGCTCTTGGGCTGTTGACTGACTTGTTCTCGGCAGCAAACGTCACTCCACTTTATCCCTGCACAACTGAAACTTTCTTGCTGCAGGTAAATGTCAAAGAACAAATAAACATTAGCAATAGCTAAATGTCTTCCTCCTTTTTAAGTGTCCCAACCATTTTTTTATTTGCCTGACGGCTTGGATCCAGGTAATGGAGGGAAGGAAGGAGGGAGGGAGAGAGGCTTTTACAAACACTGTTTGCTCTTCTAACAAGGATCATAAACACAAAGTGTTTTAAGGGCACACTCACCCCCCAACAATAATAACTTAAAAGCAAGGTTTATAGTTCAAACAATGCAAGTAAATATTTTGACATTTGCTCATTTGTTTAATTCCTGCTCAAATAGTTTCCTGTTCCCAGTAGACTGGGATTTCCTTTGGAGTAGCTGGAAAAAACCCTATTTATAGTGGACTCTGAGAGACAGCAAAGTGTCACCTCAGAGGAGCACTTTCCACAGGGCAGAAGAGTGCATGGCTGAGGAAAACCTCAGTGTGGAGTAAATTAGTGATGAAGCTCAAAGAATGGAAAAAAATGAGGAAAAAAGAGATGTATTTATCAGGAGGAAACAGCAGACTCATGGCATCATTATGGATGGACTGGTTTTGAAAACATCCACTCAACCTGGTGAGGATACACGGCGCCTGAGCTCCTCACAGCCCATCCTGCTGCCCTGCCAAGCACACAGTCACTGCTCTGCTGGAACAGCCAAAGGAAAAATGCTGAGAGCTTGAGGAAAGCAGGCAGACTCCACAATAGAGGTGGTTTTCTAAGCCTGAATTTACATAAAATTGTGTGCGCTGTGGCAGACGTGCGTGGATGTGTTAAATTTGTATCTACATAACAGAAACAGGCCAAGAGCTTTCTTATGCTGAGGGCCTGGGAAGTTGAGATTACAGCAAGTCTGCAAACTCAGCAATTCTTGAAAAGAAGATTTATAGCTTTTTTATCACATTACATCATTGTGGGTAGAGAAAGATGCCCCACAGCATCAGCTGGAGTTCAAGGTGCTGCCTTTGAGTAATGACCTTCCTGGGTCAAATTCCAATTTCAGAGCTCCCAGACACCCTGGCTCCATCCTGAGCAAGGGCCAGCACAGCACCTCAGCTCCAACAGGCTTCCAAGTGATGCACCATAAATCATGGAATGGTTTGGGCTGGAAGGGACCCTAAAGCTCATCCAGTCCCAGCCAATGCCATGGGCAGGGACCCCTTCCAGCAGCCCAGGCTGCTCAGAGCCCCCTCACAGGAGCCTGGGATGGCCTCAGATCCATCCTGGTCATGTGGACTGCCAGACACATTCAGGTTCCTCAGATGGTCACAAACCTGTCTACTGTGATAGGAAGGACATCATTCCCCCAAACACCTGCCTTGTGCTTTGGAGGCTTAAGAGATGTGGGAAGAGAAGTTACCATCAAGACGGAGGCACAATTGTTGGGTACAAACCCACACAAAGTACACTTTGTACAAACCTTTGTACAGCACACTTTGTCCGTCAGCCCAAGGAGCCTCACATCAGTGAAGACAACTCCAAATGCCAGGGTCTGACTTTCGCCCAAATTCTTTCCACAGCATGATAAGATAACAGAAATCTTTTACGTAATCAAAACCATGAGACAGTTTCTCCTTCATCTACATATCCTTTCCAGACTTAACTCCTTGCTTGCAGGGTTGGGAGCACTGCTGCAGAAACGCTCTTTGCAAGGGCATCTTCAACCAGCATCCCGTGAGAAAGGCTCCCAGGGAACATCCAACACTGCCACAGCATGAATTTGGGATGACTTCCCCAGGTGGGTCATACACCTGTGGGTCACTGCACTGCAGGGAAAGAGAAGCGATGACATTAAACATCGTTTCATTAATTAAAATAAACATCTGGTAATCTGGGTAAAGCAGCAATATTCATAGGTGACAAACGCTGACCAAAACAAGGCAAAACAAAATTCCCCACTCTGTATCAATCCCAGGCTGCTCACCCAACAATTTTAATCAAACACCCTCTAAAGGAAGGCAAAGTTTTCTGAAGACATGAGAGGGAGCCATGCAATCCCTGCAGCAAGAACCTGCACGTGGGTCAGGTGGTGAAACTGCTGTGTTTTTTGATTTCAGTCTGAAGTCAGGAAAATCCCCAGCTGACACTAAACTATCTTTAGTAAATAATTTTATAAAGACATTTCCATTGATCCCAATTCCATTCAAGGCATTGGATTGATACATATAAAACAGAGCTAATATTTTATTTTTGTGCAGTTACTCAATCTGGATAAATTAAATGCTTTTGAAACTAAGCAACATGTTGAGAAAAGGAAGCTGACTCTAGTCTGAACCACAATTAAATGCTTAATTTGCTATTAGGAATTGGTAGGCACTGTTGTTTGGGAAGTAGAAATTAACCAAGGATATGGTCATACCAGTGTAGGAGATGTTCCTGGAGGAGCTCAGAGTTACAAATGTGACTAATGAACACACCCATGAATTTCACGTGGAAAGAAAACTGTATGAAAAAAATCACGTAAGACTAGAATCAAAGACCTGGAATTCCTGTCCAAACTACAGCCCACAATATACCACAAACCCTTCAAAACATCATTTCAAAGTGAATGTCAAGAGGCAGACACTGACTCTAAATTACAACACTTTATTGCAGCATTGGCAAAGGTCAGATTTCTGAAGCTGGTGAAGATCGGGCGGCATTTCTGTATGAAATGTTACAATTTTACAAGTCTCTCTTCCTACATGCAGAAACCAAAACCAGTGGTAAAAAGGATTTTAAAAGAGCTAGAAAAAAGAATTAGTAGTAACATACAGATGGGCTCTTGAACTCAATGAACTACCTCTACCTGAAAGCAAACAAAACCCTACGCTAATAAATAACAGATTGTCAGAAACAGACCAAGAAACCTCATTTCTACTTAGAAAAAAAATAAAAATTCTACTTGTTTCCAGACTTAATTTTTTTTTTTAAACTTTTTGTTTGTTTCAATAGACACAGAGGCTTATCAACCCATGAAGATCAACAAAATATTTGGATCCACTCCTTGACATCCTCCTGCTATGCTGACTGGCACATTTTGGTTTTCAATGATAGATACAATGGGCTCAACTATATCCCTGTCCTTAGGCTGGTGTCAGGCTGTTCCAAGCAGTACGAGTCAACACCCCGTGTTCATCAACTTCACTTTCTATTTTAAACCTTAACAGACATTTTATCTCCTTGGCTCTTCAGTTTTTCACCCCTCCCCACCCCCTTTCTGGCACATCTGGCAGCAAAAGGCTCTTCCTTAACCCAGAACATCCTCACTGAGGAGTGTTTGAGAAGTTATCCTACTCGGCAGGGTTCTCTTCTGCATTTTGCTGTTTGCTCTATGTGTTTCTACTGTAGATTTGCAGCCCCTAAAAGAACATCCTTCCAACACCAAACGCTCGAGTCGGAGACAACGTTAACTTGTGGTGAGTTCAGAGCTTTATTTCCCTGCACGCTGAGCTGCCAAAGGCCTTTCCCATTCCAGTGTCACTGCTGAACTCCAGGCTGCTCCCGGCTCTCGCCGAGCTGCTCGCGGCTCAAGTTCCCCATCTCGCCGTTTGCTTCTGCTCCTATGAGAAGATTAACCCTCAACGCGGTTCCCATAACAAAAAGCTTTTTTTGGGGGGGTGGGGGGGGAGAGGGGAGGCTGCTCTTCGTGCCCCACGGCCCCAGCCTGTCCCAGGTTTCGGTTCTGAACGCTCTAGACTGACATGCTGAGATGTGTCCACTGCTCTCGTTTAATCGCTGGAGGACTCCACAACACCAGAGATACAGGACCTAATGAAATGACACTGGCGGCTGGATCAGCGTCTCCTGCGGGAAGAGAGGAGAGAGGGATCAGATCAGCCTGAGGGACCCACAGCTCTGTGGGTGAGCAGCCCCAAAAGCAGCTGCCTCTCATTCTGACACCCTTTTACCGGTTACACATTTCTCTTTTCTGCACAACCATTTCCAAAGGGCACCCCAGACAAAAGCAGGGGGATAATCTGCACCTTATCATTCCACGTGAGATGCTGAACTACTGAAGCACGGCTGTGAATTTGCTGAAAAAATGAGTTATTGTAAATAGTATTCATCTTTCTGTGCAGTTTCTTAATGCTTAGAAGTTCTGCAGAAATGTTATAAATGGTGTTATAGAGGCAAATCATTGGTTAGAACCTTTTTCAGAGTCGATTGGTGCATTTAAATCTTCCACCATCCCTTGTTCAAGAAACACATCCCTACCCACAAGAAGTCCCATTTAATTCTCTTAAGAACATACAAAAAGAATGACAGGAGTTTGTAGGCAGGGGATTCAACAAGACCAGGGCAATGCAGCAGTGAGGCCACCCCTGTGTCACTAACTTCAGCACAATGCAGTTACTGCATCTGGGCTCCTTTTCAGCTGATTTTAGGCTGCAAATTAAAATTAATAATAGACATCAAAATACAACTTCAACATTTACAATTCCAAGGAGGTTCCAGGGCTACACACAGAGATTTTTTACCATTCAACCACAACAGTTCATGTTTCTTTACATTAGTGCATGATCCTCCAGTGTTTGTTGAACAGTCATTTGATGTAAACCTGGTTTTCACTGAAGTTCTTGCAAGAAAAATGTTACAGATATGTTATCTGGACATAGTAACATCTGCACCTCTTGTACCAGATGAAGCTTGCACACTAATTCTGTATTTGTATGTGTTGCTTTGTTCTATTATCCAGTATTTGTTTATATAAAAATGCTGTGTATTTTTGCCAGGAAATCCTGAGCTGATGCATCATTAGAACTCTCTGCAGCACTGCTTCTATTATTTGGTTTTAACCACCTGTTAGTGTTACATAATGTAATATTCCAATTCTTTGTGGCACACTTGACATGAGAGCACTGGCTATGTGCTTTCAATAGAAAAGATCTATAATTTCTATTTATTTAGTAGACTGACATCTCACTTGCAAAATGTTACAATCGAGGGCAGATATCACTGAATTGCAGGATCATGCTTTTAACTCTCCATCTCCTCTCAAAAAATAATTCTCCTGCTGATAGGGAGGGAAGGAAAAAGCTGGGACTGGTGCATGTCTCCAACTTGGCCAAAATGTCTCCCACCCAAACCAGCAGCTAAGTGCAGGCTGGTGGCAGATCCCTGTTTGAGGGGATCACAGCCACGTGCTGCTGCCAAAAATAGCAGCAGTGGTTTTTTGCCAAACCAGGTATTTCACATTTGTGTCCGACCTAGTAAACTTGATCCAAACCTGTATTTGGCAAGGTCAAACTCAGTACACAGATGTAATTAAAACCATCTATGTGTAAAAGGAATCAATTCTTTGCAGTCTCCTCCCACACTTCCCTTCCTGCCACTGACACGTTGTTAATTTGTATGAAATTCACACAGTTGGCTCCTCACGCCACTGCTGAGCATCAGCACTGACCTGTGACAGGGAAACACAGAGCCTCTGACACAAACCATGGCTGGAGCACAAAGCTGGAAGCCATGAAAACACACAGAAACCTCACAGCACAGGCTATGAAATAATCACAAAGCCATGGCATGGGTGGAGGTGGGAGAGCTCAGTCAGCAGCACAACTTCACAGCTTAAACTGAGAAGTGCCCAGGGGAATATCAATAATCAACTCCTTTATGCATGTTGCTGACATCACAAGATCACAAAAATCTTTATTTCTTGAAGTGTAGAGACCTCTGAAGTTGGATTTCACACTTATCCCTAATCCCCTCATGTCCTCCAATCTGCATTTCTGCAGTGCTGCATTTCTTCACCCATCTCCTCACAAACTTCCAGCTCCAATCACCTCCTCTTCCAGTTCACTCCCTGCTTTGCTTTTCTCAGCCAATCTCAGCTTCCATGCTCTTTGTTCTCCCTCTCCCCTAGTCACCCAAAACTACAAACAAGAAACAGAAACCACCAAGGTGCCCATTAAAAACCTATCACATCTGACTTACCACATTCCATACTGTGAACATCAAAATTCAAAAAAACCACAAAAGCTGGACTCCCCTAAATAAGAGAATCTTAACTTCTGTCAGTTATTTTATAGCCTCATCTATCCATCAAAAATAAAATGCTCTAAGTGAAATCAAAGTCAGTGTGTACAGTGGGTTAGGAATTTTTTGGGGATTGGTAGCTGGTTTCCAGAGGGCCACAGAGCTGCAGGGATTTTTGGAAGGTAGTTATTATTTATATTGAAAGAACCTTTCCAAACACAGGAGTCTTTCTAACTGAGCATGGCTAATAAATACAAGTTTGCCTCCATTCCTCTGAACTGTGAGCAGGTGTCTCTCCAGCTTTGCTGTCTGGGTTAGACTCACACCCAGCTTGCAGAGCTCCTGCCAAGGCAAGCACCTGAGGCTTTTCTATTCTCTTCTGCTCAGCTCCAGTGCAGTCCACCAGAAGCAGCTGCAGGATTTGGAGCCCCCCTCCCACATTCCTTCCTTTGCTTCCCTCCCATGAAACAGCTGAAAAGGGGTTTGGAATTTCTTAGCTGTGTTTAAAAGGCCCATCTCAGTAAGAAGTGAATTCAAAGCTTCATAAAGCAGCACTGTCAATGCATCAGCTTCATGACAGGTGATGTATGAACTGTGTTGGTCCAGTAGCTGAAACAGGAAATCATGTTAAATTCACATTTCTCCTTATTATCCAAACTCTGATTTTTCAGCATTAATGCAATATTCTTTATGATGAGAATATTTAGCTAATAAAATCCCAGCATCCTGTTATTACTGCTATGCTTCATTTTTCTTTATTAAATGGGTTAAAGAGAAATAAGAGTCAGATGTAAAGAGGAGACCTGAGATCACCATTTAACCTGAATATGATTTGGTTTGCCAGCCTATACCTGCATCCCTAGGGGAACTTTGGACACAGGCAGGCCCTATATTGTACTTTCAAAACAGCAACAAATTTTGAGGCTGCAGCTTTTAATAAGGAGAGGTTTAACAAGATAAAATCCTTGGTAAGGCCCTGCTTCTCAACGGAAGAATTACAGGGCGAAATTTAACTTTTTTGGTAATCAATGTTTTTAAAATTATTTTATATAATGGGGTTATTTTCATTTCACTTTTAAAACCAAGCCATTTAATGGATCTCAATCCCCTTAAACAAAGGAAAACCACTTTATATTTTAAGAAGCTGTTCCTAATAGTACCAGTCAATTTTTATGATAATCCCATCACCAAAAAAAATTACTTTAGTGAATTTTGTGTTTCCTGAAGGTAGTTGTTTGATAGCCTGAGAGCCAAAGGCCTCTCTTACCACACAAATGCTACAGAACCGGAGGCAAGAGAGAAAATTGTTTTCTTCCCAGGGCTGCTGAAGCAAATCAAGGAACTCTACTTTTAATGGAGTCACAGTAAATTATCTTTAAGGCCAGTCAGCCTTAAATGTACAAGTCCTAGAAAGAATCTCCTCCTTGCAGGACCAGCAGGTCTCAAAACCTGAGGCAATACAAGCAGGCAATTCCAAACAAACAGAAACAAACTCCAATTTTTGATCCAGCATTTTGCACATGCTAAATAATAAGAAATCTGACAGAGCTTGCAAATCTCACTGCATTTAGTTGAGTACAGAACAACAACAAGGACATTAACACAGGAGAAATAAAATAAAAAACTGCAGAAGATTTATATTTTTTCAAAAACATATAGAGGGCTAATTGCTTAGGGAGATCCAGTTGTTCAAGGCCAAAACCATGTGGAAGAACCCAATGATACCTGCATTAATTTCTGAAATGAACTGCTACAAGAGGTAGATTTGGATTTAACTTCCTAAAAGGTGTTTGAAACACAGTGCTTAGGGCATGTTTAGCAACAAAAAAAAAGCAAAGGTAAAAACAACAAATCAATTTCTCTACTCTCAACACTCCCTGAAATGCAAGAAAGGCCTCATTCCTACCTCAGCTATCAGAACCTGTCACATTTTACATTACAGTGGAATCAACCAGGAGATTTATTTGCTTAGATTATCCCTAACCTCAAGAATTTTAAAATAAGTTGTGTATCTTAAAGAAAGCAGCAAACTATTATTTCCAGTAAGTTTGAGTTATTTTGAAAGAAAATAATATTTCAGTTGTGTTCATGTAGAAAGAAGCAGCAACAACACAACACAGTGTCCTCGTGGAAGTGACAACATCTGTGTTACACCATTGGAGTAAGTTTGAGTTATTTTGAAAGAAAGTAACATTTCAGTTGTGTTCATGTAGAAAGAGACAGCAACAAGACACAGTGTCCTCGTGGAAGTGACAACATCTGTGTTACACCACTGGTTCTACCAGACAGGAATGTGAAATCTTCTCTACACAGATATTAAAATTAACAGCTCAGTTCCTATTTGCTCAGTGAGACCCTCCAGTATCCTCAAAATTTACAGGGTAACTTTTTAACAAAGCATGAGGGGGGTCTGGGCAGAGACTGCAGTGCAACCTTTAAAGCCAGAAGACAATTTCCAATATATCCTACAAATCAGAGGCTCTAAGAATGTAGGCAAAACAACCTGTGCCAGTGGGAAGCCATTGGTGGACTCACAGTCTCCAAGAAATAAATGCAGTTAGGAAAAGTACTAGTCCCTTACTGCAGGCTGAGCTGGCTCAACTGATGCATGACTGCCAGGCAGAGCACTGCAGTACACAACAAATAAAATATACCTGCTCAAACAAACTTCCTGGTCTCTGCTCCAAGCAGCTTATGGATTAAAAGGTACAAAGAGTAAACTCCATAATACAAAACTACATCAGAACTGCAAGTGCATGGCACTTGAATAAACAAACACTACTCAAACTGTTTGCTGGATAACATCTGACCTATTTCAGTCAAGTCCTAAATTATATTTTCCCTACAACATCACAATATAAAAGGTTTTCTAAAGAAAATAATATAAAAGAAATCTACAGATACCACATCTACTGGTCTGGCTGTTGTATTTAAAGAGGAACTGCAGCATGCAGCTCGTGTCTGAAAGAGCAGAATGCTGCAGCTGTTAATGAAACACCTGCCAGTGTTGTGGCAATTCAGTGTACCTGAACACTGTATTCCTACAACAGCATTAGGTCACAGTGATATGAAAAAGCTAAATGGAAAGCACTGCTCATTTTATTGAGTTACATCTGGTTAATTTTTGTAAAACATTTATTTTAAACTGCAATCTCTTTAATTTTTTTTTTGTACAAGCAGTGTCTGTATGAGGTCTCAATGGAGCGAGTGATCATCAGGACATTATCAAATGATCATAAATATGTACCATGAAGAAGTTGGAAATGCTACTGGAACACAGAAATAGTACATTACATTAACTTATTTGCAGTTTACAAAGACAGACCCATTAGGAGGTAAACTGTCCCTTCCCAGTTGCTGCTCCTATCAATCCACCTTCAAAATGAACTTGCAAAGAAAAGAGAAACTTGAAAGCAAGTCTGCATTTCACCGAAACTCTGTCTATTCAAATGTGTGCTGCAGGGCTAATTTAATGGTTTATTTGCCAGCTTACTGTGAGTGAGAAAAGACACAAACTAAAGCCTCAGAACAACAATTAAGCAATCAGGAATGACTCTTTTCATGTTAATGCTGGTTTTGGCAAGATCTTGCACACTATAGATGGAAAATTCTGTCTCTGTCCTTTCCACCTTTACTATATTTACTTTGCATTCAGGGCATCAAATACAGAGGAATAGCTGTCAAATTCATGCCACAGAAAGAGCATGATAATTTCTGCAGATACTTAAAAAAAACAATCCTCTTCCCCTCTCATGGAGAAAGCAGACATACATCTTTTCCCCTACAAACAGGCAGCTGTCAAATTCACCCCACAGAAAGAGCATGATAATTTCTGCAAATACTTAAAAAAAAAACAATTCTCTTCCCCTCTCATGGAGAAAGCAGACATACATCTTTTCCCCTACAAACAGGGGGTCATATTCTAACAGCCATTTCACAACTGAAAAATAATCTTTTGGCTTCCAAAAGATCACAGAGGTACAGACAATGTGCTAGAAACACAAAACACGGCTTGGCATTTTAAGAGAATGCTTTAGAGTGGAAACGACTGCCCAGGCACTCACTACAGTGATCATTATCTCTTTCAATTATGAAGATAATTACTTGCTTAGAACCAGAATTACCACATTTAAAGGAAGATTGTCCTACCTCCCACCGGTTTTAAAGATTAGATCTGCATTAGGTGCTCCCTTCGGATGCTGGTAACGAGGCCGCCGCTCACGATTAGTATTTGCTGGAGCTGGACGCTGTGCCAGAGACTGCAACATTTCTGGGATTTCAGGCAGAAGAAAGGAAATAGAAGAAAGTTCAATACATTTTCTATGGATCATTTTTACATAGGAATTTACACATGCACATCTCATTGCCATTTACACTTACACTTCGCTGTAGAGTTGACACTCAAGTTATTCCACAAAAGTTAATTACAAAAAGTTACAAATTACATCCCCAGCTTTGATAAACCTAAGCTACCCCACAATATGAACCTGCATTTCCAGATGTTCCTGCAGAAGGAACTGCCAGCAATGGTTTTCATCACAGATGCCTCAAGAAAAGACCTGCAACCTTTTCTTTCTAAACACATCAGCCACCACTTTCTTCATCAATGATCAGGAACAAAGACTCACAGCAGCACGAGTGGCCTCAACATTAAACCTCCCTGGAATAGTAACAACTGGACAATGCTGCTGCCAATTAAAGACTCAGCAAGAAACCTGTCCTAAAATTAAGCATTGCCAGTCAGGTATTTAAGTCTAAGCTTGGCATAATTGGATCATTTTCCAGGGAAGACAGGCACCTGAAGAAGGTGACTCAGCTGACCTACATTGCACCAGCTGTCCCAGGGATGGAGTTTTTCACTCATCACTCATCATCAGGGGGAATAATTTGGGTGCAGAAAGCAGCCCATACTACCCAGTTTAGCCCTGGACAGCCAAATTATGGGCAATTTAAACTATGACAGTATTGTATTTTCACATTTGGTAAAACTTAATTTCTAAAACTTTATTTCATTTTTTAATGATTAAAAAAATGTTTCTTTACCAGGCTAAGTCAATGCTTATTAAGTATCCAATATAATTACAGATATATCATAGGAGGTAACCTCTGCCAATCTGTTAATACCTCTAATGGAAAGTATTCCTACAGTCCACCTGAGCAGGGATCTACATTACTCAGCAAACAGACAGATGGGATAAATGAAGGGGAAAAGTGGAATAAGCTGTTAAACAGATTATGTTTGAAAGTCTGCTCTGTCTGGTTCTCCAGTCTCTGGTAATCAGATTGGAGACACACAGCCATCACCTGCTGCACACACACTGCTCTCAGTGGGACCAAACTAGAGACTCTGATGACGTTCCCTCACCATTTGCAGAATGCAGGTGAAACGTTCAGTGAAGTTATCCACCCAGTCTTGGAGAAACTGGGACTGATTCAATATCTGTGTCAACAGTCAGTGAGTGACCCTTGTATCCATGTTCTGTACACTGAATGCAGCACCTGGCAAAGGCAGCCACTGAACACAGTGACAGCCCATGTTTGCAAACATCACGAAACATCAGCCTTCCCAACAGCCCTGTGTGCCAGGAGAGAGCTCTGGGAGCAACCAGGAGACTCAGGAGGAAAACCAGATGAGGGTACCCTGCCAGGCAGGTGTGAGCAGCAAGCAGTGAATGAACATGCACATCTGCCTCTTCTGTTTTCCACACAGCAGGTGAAAGGAAATATGGGACTGGGAAGTTCAGAACTGAAGAATGTAACAGAAGGCAGAGATGGCAGGGGAGCACAGTGGGTTTTCTAGGCTGAAGGCACATCACCAAACCTCCTTGGTTTGTTAGTGAAGAAAAAATAATCTGCACAGAAAAGTACCAGTCTAAACTAGAGAACCACCCAAGTTCCTAATAGTTCTTTAAATTAAAAAATCTTTATAATATACTAAGCTCTGCTGAAACATTAAATCTTTATCTGATACTACTTTGAAGTACATTGGTGAATTTCCATCTATTAGCTACCCTGTGCAGATGAAAAGAACAAGTACATGTGCAAACGTTGGGACAACCCTGAGGCATTCTTCCAGAAATTGAGAATTCTTCCTCTCTCAGTAACTTCAAAGCTCGAAACAGAAATTTAAACCCAACACTTTCATTCCATAAGTAGGTACCAACTTGTCACAGACAGGATGACTCTTCAAAAGTAACAATCAACTGCACAAAATCTAAATAAAAAATTGTTCCAAAGGTGAATGTAATTTGGTCTGTTTAATTTAGCCTGATTAAAATGTTCTTCTTAGTTTGGTTTTACTCTGTATATTACCCAGGCTAAGATGCATCAACAGCTGTTTTAAAAAGGGATGTCAATTATGGAAAAACCTTTTACTTTTGTGTTGACTTCCTTCCTGCATTGTTTTACACACAGCAACTAAATAAAAATCTATGAGAAAATTTTTAAAAGGCCTGTTTCCAGTTATCAATTCATATCAGTTTTCTTATTTTGCCCAACAGAAATAAATCAATGTGATCCTTTTTTGGATAAAAAGCACAATTACTCTATATAATTAAGTCCTAGATTAAATAGGCTCATTTTAGATATCAACAAAGTCATACAATGGTATAAAACCCAAATGCCTTAACCAGTAGAAATAGTAGAAGTATCTAATGAGGAAAAAAACCACCAAGAGTCTGGGAGAAGCACTAAAATGTCTAATATGTCTAATTCTAGTCTCTCTCCACCTTTCTCACAAGTGGGCTTTAGAAGAGCAGAGTGTCTCAGGAAAGTTGCTGAGCTAATTACCATGTATAACACTAAGAATGTGTTGTGTTACCACTTCAGAGTTCTGCAGACACTCACTTTGGAAGATATTCCTTTTTACAATTACAAGTTTAGTTCTGGTACTATAAAAGTTCTGCAAGAAGTACTGGATTCCATAGTGTTTTAAAATTAAAACTGCCTTAATTTCCCACTTCTTGATGAACAATGACCTTTCACTAAATGCCTTAAATGAGATTTCCTGCTAATTAACTACTTACACTGTGATTACCACCAGACTACAATATCTTTACAAAAAAAAGCAGAGCAAAAACTTCTGAGATGTTAAATGGAAACAGTAACATAAGACATCAGCTTTATTGGTCTGGCTTTGTTTACTGTCTGAGTAAGGGAGGGAAGTTGAATCTGAAGAAAAGCACAACCCAAAACAAACCACCCAACAACTAAACACACGAAGTGCACCTGTTTGGAGACTGTATGAGCTGTGTTAACTGTTTGCTTCAATCTGTCCAGGATCCAAAGTGCCTGACTCACATGTCTTCAAAACATAAAATTAATCATGTAATCTGTACAAGCCCTTCACTTTGGTAATATATGCTTATGCTCCAGATTTGAGGACTCCTAGAACCTTTACAATATGAAGCTGAGGTAACATTTTATATTTCTCTGGTGAAGGTTACCTTGGGACTTGCAAGACTAAGGAGTCTAAATATTATTAATATCTAAAACACTTTATTAATAGCTTAAAAGCAGAACTTAAATTGCACAGAATTCATCTCGTATCCAACTCAACTGTCTTGCAGTAAACACCACATTGATTTTGTATTACATTAATTTTAAAGAACTCAGTTCTTCTCCTTTCCCAAAATAAACGGAAATGCTGAAATTTGAGACACACTTGAAAATTCCTTTTCATGGAACAACTACAAAAACTTCTTCAAGTATAAAGACCAGGGAGGAAACAATAAATGACTAAAACCAAAATACAGGTTTCCCCTAAGTACTGCAAATCAATATTTAGAACTTCATCTGCTAATCATAACAAATAATGCTTTCTGCAGATCACAAAGGCTCCCCTGAAAATCAAACCTAAATCCTTGGTGATTTTCTTACCCTGATAGTCCTCTTGTTCCTGCCGTTCATTGATATCCAGAGTGAGCTTTTTCATCCTCATTCTCTCCTCCTGTTCTGCTTGCTGTTGGTTCCAATGGTTTGCAGCAAGTTGGGAAGACATCGGTACATTAAGGATCTTAAACTGCAAATGAAAATAAGTTTTTAAGTGCACATCAGAGGAAAAACCCAACTAATATGAAACAATCCAATCTACAGAAATGCTATGGTTATTTCTAGATTATTTTAATGAGGTACTTTCTACAGAAGTTCCTACTGTGAAGTGTGTTGTTGATTTGTTTTGAACCTCTAATTCACATAAAGCAGCATGAGAAAATGCAAGACCTGCTAAAGACACAGAGAAACACAAAAAAAGCTGAGTTCAAAACCTATCAGACACGGTACTCATGTGAACAAAACTGACTGTCTTGTCCTAGGAAGGTACAGCCATATGCTTTATTTCTTACTTTCATACCAGCTGATTTGCCCACAGGGAGTTGCCCTGGTCTTGATGTAAAAGGACCAGAGCTGGTTCAGAAAGCTGCATTTCCCTCTTCAGCTCTCTTCCCTCCAAAGAGATGAAGTCCCCTGAGCAGAGTATCTACTATTATCCCTTGTGATAACAGAGGAAAAACATTTCAGACATTCCCTGGAATTCCCTGACCAGTACTTTTCTTTTTAAGAACAATTCTGGTGCTTCTTAGTCTAGAAACAACCATGGTGTCAGATCGATCTTTTCCTCCTCCCCCATACCCAAATGTGCCCACCACACATTCTGATTTAAACACCATTATCTGATTTGCCATAAGGCACACCAGGTAAGCTTGGCACTCCCACAGCAGTACCCTCTCTCTGGAAATCCAGCTGATATTTTCAGGAAGGTGTAGGGAAGGTGATTTCTTTTTCCTCAGACTCAGAAAATCCAATTTGTAACTTCTACATATCTGGGGCTTTTTTACAATTGTTCCAGAACAGAGAAATAATTCTTAATCTTATCCACAACTGAAAGAACTGTTCCAAGAAAATACTTAATGCTAAAGTTTGCAAACATTTAGAAAAATCTCTCTTCCTCCTTCAACTCCATGTCCATTAGAAATAAGTATTTCTATGCCTAAGAAGGGTAATGCATTTAAGCATAATCACTCTCAATATTCCACGAACTACTCTGAATCCTGCTCCTTGTTACTCATCATGGGAGATCCATTTCCAAAGAAACAGAAGTAAATTCCTAAGTGTTCTTTCCTGTTACACTGTCAAAAGCTGCAGAGAGAGATAAATTATCAAAACCTCTGCTGAGAAGATTTAAAGCAAAATCCTTACCACCTGTGGTTAGTATTTAATGCAATAATCACTAAACAGTCTCAAGGTATCTCAGAGAGTAATGCCCCACTGGCAGCAGTGCTGAGTGTGGGAAGACTCAGATGAAGCACTGGAAAATAAACTGTATTTGAAACAGTAAAGACAGACTCTTACAAAGATCTGAGAAAAACTTGGGTACAGTAAATCCCTAAACCCTACCAACTACAAGATGTATTTAGATGACATTTTTTGGAGGTTGAGATGAGGGTAATAGCGTATTATACTGAATATAAATATGAGCTTGTTATTAAGGTGTGCAGGGAAGAACAGAAATGGAAGTTGAGATCCCAAGAGCAAAGTAAGCTCTGGTTACTTATTGCTGAGCAGGCTGTGCAAGTTCCCAGATATCATCAAATGAACTTTACGTAAACTACACAAATAACTAATCCATTAGCAGCATTTCATGATAAAAATCATGCCTCAGCTTCACCATTAAGCTCCTCATCCATTTTAATATGTCCTTTATATTTTCTCTGTTCTATGGATTTATCAGCTAAATGGGATTGGTGTTTTCAGACAGGATGATTAAAGTAGAAAAAGAAAACTGAACTATAGAAGGGTGTAAATGAGAGAAACAGATACAGAAAAACAACAGCCTGGCAATTAACAAAACACCACTGAGTCACTATCTCAAGGCAATCAGCTGCCACCTGAAATCAAGTCACTGATGGCAATTACTACAGGATATGATGATTACTGAACCACTGAAACACTTCGAATTTGCAAATAGTGAAAAGGTGTATCAAAAACCTCTTGTCAAATCTGTGAGATGGGGGCAGGACAGAGGATTTCACTTTAAGGATGTCAAACTGAAGGAAGATCAAAAATCATTATTCAGAAGACCAGACCACAGATTTTGTAAAAATGCCATGAGATAAAGACATGAAGATATAAATGAGATTAAAAATTTCACAATCAGGGAGAGATTTGACCATTCCATGGATATTATCATTCTTCTATGGAGCCATGCTAAAAATCTTTCAAAGGGAAGGTAATCTTTTATCTTAGCAGTAACCAAATTTCTTGACTTTCTTTTTTCTGTCTATATCTCATTTTAGTTCATACCTACCTGGCATAAAACTTCTTGGTTCAGAAACACCAAATGGTATTAGATACAGCTCAGCTCTGATCCCTTATGATGCCAACTTTATTTCCCCTTGCTCTCTCATGCCTTATGGATAAATCACAATGCCATCATCTTAAATTCAAATAACCATGTTAGATTCTACTGCTACTAGTTTTCTAAGTCTGGAGGATAAAATATGGTGTCTTGTCACTATCAGCCTGCAATGACCATTAATTTGGATATATGCAGCTGGTAAATACCAATCAGTTGCTCTTGTATTACTCAAAAAAACTACTTGTCAATGCTGCACTAAAGTCTGGGTGGACACTGACATGTCAGCTGGGTATTTGGCAGCTGGACCTCACTACCAAATGTTACCCCAGGAAGGAAGCACAGCACATTCCATTTTTCTAACATTTCTTGTTTCAAGAGCACAACTAACAAACAAAACAAGAGATTGAAATCATTACTAGCAGAGCAAGCAAGTAGGCTGATGTCATTTATCACTCTGGTGACTGTGCAGATGAAGTTACTAACAGTTTCCCAGGCTGCTGCAAACTTCTTTTAACTGTTTTAAAAATCTGAAAGTTTACAGATATAACTTAACAGCGAATCACTTCAAAACTCACTGCATATTCTGCTCATGCAGATTTAAAATAAAGCACCATAAGAAGGAATAATTATTTTCTTTTCAACTCCACCTCTTCTTTCCTGCTTATTTTTCTATTAAAACCCTGCACTAAAACACATTTTTTTCTGAATACAGAACTATGGACAAAGAAGCCTTTCATTAATTCAAGAGCTGAAGGAGTCTATAAAGCAACTGTTTTCTACATTTCTAGAAACACTGAGAGGAGTTTTGGCAGGAAGAGCCTACTCCAAAAACCAAATATTGGGGGAGGAGCAGGGAAAACTCCTGAACAAGTTCTGCTTTCTTTCTAAGTCACACTTCTGCAATACTTTCCCCTTTACATGGAATATGAAGATCCCAAAATTCCTTGTAACTACAGATACTCCTAGTAAATTATTCTGAAAAAGCTAAACAAGATTTTTTTTAAAAATGGAGTTTTCTTAAGCCCCTTCTCAGACCAATGACCATAGTTAAAAATCTCCCACTCTGAGCTATTGTAGAACTTTGTATACCACATTGAAGTTCCAGGAAAACAGAATAACCACTTCCTACATGGATTTTTGAAATGTGTTTCATATGAATGAAGAGAAGGAGCCTGCTTCAGGTTAATACATCCCAACAGCTACACTACTGTCACAACTTAGGTAACAAATGTAAAAACCAAGTAATGACATGGATCTAAACACTTGAAAGGCTCAGATAGATGGTATGAAACAATTCCTTAGGTATGCTTTCCATATAAATTCAGAGTAATTTATTTTCATCAAATTATACAACCAAAATTAAAAGATTACTTTAAAAGCCCTAAACCATGACAAAAAATACATGTGGAATGTGTTAGGTAGGGATTTGCGTACTGTGCATTTGCTGAGCTACGAAAATTCAAACATACACTGGAGAAAAGAGCCAAGACTAACATACAGCTTAGCTGCATGAAGCAAGGAGTTAGTTTGTTTTATCAACCTCATTTCCATTTAAGTTTCTCCAAAAGATTCACTCCATACATTCTGTAATAATCTCCTAACAGTGCTTCAGGGATAATGACTTTTTTCTTTTTGCAAGTTGAATAAATTCAGCCAAGTGGCTGTTACTTAGGAAATGGAATTTAGCAATGACCATATATCTTGATTTGAAGCTGAAAGTGTTTTCAGGAAAAGCTGTAAAATTTAAAAGATTCTGGAATATTCCTTTTTCTTTTTAGTCCTTTCAATGTTCAGTGGCAGTTCACCAACCACATCTCTTCATCTTCCACAACTACATCTAAAATACATGCAAGACATAGCACTCACCTACTGGTAGAATCACAAATGTAAATAGTCATGGTATTATGTGACCACAGAATTTTTCTACATCATTTCTATTAACAACCAAGAATTCCAATAAATTTTATATATTTTCTATGTGTCAAAATGAAGTTGTATCTGATTTTGAGAAATTAAAAAAGAAATTAAAAATTCTGCGTTACTTTTTTTGAAGTGAAAGGTCTTTTATTTATTTAAACAGTACCTATACCTTACCTGCTGCTTGTTGCCTTTTCTTGTTAACATGACAAATGGCATTGTGTCCCCAGACTCTGACTCTCCTTCCCCACCTCCAAGTGGGGGGCCCTTCTTCAGCTGGCTTTTGAGATGCAGAGGAATAGCAACATCCAGCTGATGCACTTTAACAGATTCACCACTCCGTTGCTATGAAAAAAAGTGAATTCTATAAATGATCAGATGCTGACACAGTCAGGCTGGCAACATTGACATTTTCACAACTGAGAAAAGGTTTAACCTTCCAGGAAAATGAAGCAATATATAACTACATTTATTAGGCTTATTATATTTTCCTTTTGTTTTCCTTGCTTGTGAAGAAGAAAGTAACAGGGCAATCTCTTAGGGAAAGAAATCTAGAGACCTGATGAGACACACTGTAGAATGTACATTCTTAATTCATGATTCTTTTTGTACATCTTAATAATACATTTACTATACAAGGCTTGGTATACTCAATACTGAAACATTTACCAGATGTGACTAAGAAAACAAAGTACTAAAAGCTTATGCAAATTTAAATGTAGCTGGATTTTAAGCCTATTAAAACCTAAGATAAAATCAGAAGTTTTGCACAGTAGCTGCTGTATTCATTACTCATTCTGTAAAATATATGTCAGTATGTCATGTACTCACTGGACAAACAATACAATTAACAGCTGTTTTAGTAAAAGCCAAACAAGTCAACTGCAGAAAAGAGGCCAAAACAAAGTAAAACAGAAGTCTTCATTCCTTTAGTATGGTAACCTAAGCATTAATCACTTATTTACTTTAAGAAAGAAATCAACTATACTTAGCTGTACATTAAATTAAGAAAATAACTATTTATACCTGAAGATTTTCCAGCATCATTTTATCCAAGGCCTGAATGAAGTCCTCATCCTCTGCACAAGGGACATGCTTCAGTCCTCCTCCTTTAATCATTACTTCCTATTGCAATGAGAAAACATTATCCATCAGTTTCAGAAATATGAATATTCAGTCTAGAAATAAGTGGGAAATATCCTTATTGCTTGTATATCATACACAATCAAAAGGTTTATAGAATCAAACTGTTAAAGAAAGAAGTTTTCAGTCTCAATTATTTTCTAGGAAGGCTGATATTTCCTGATTTATGTCACTCATTACATTCTGACAGACTCGTGTGTGTGTGTGTGTGTGTGTGTGCATGGACATCTCCAAGATGTGGCAACAATAAAAAGAAGTCCCTATCCTTAACACATCTATTCTAATTCAATTTTCCATTAAGTCCATGAAGTTAGGTGGTATTTTACCGCCCTTCAATTATTTGGAAAGCACAACATGACAACAAAAATGTCAGAAGTCAGCACCATAACACATTGCTCCATAATGTTCATTATTTCCTTACTATGTAACTGCAATTCAGGCTCAACCAGATGGGTTGTTTAGCTGCAAATGTTATAATCTGTCAATCCCAAATTTGTATTGTAGGAATTTCACACTTCTTGGCTTGTCTCCTTTTCTGTTTTGAGATCTAGTGGAGTGTAATTGGTTACCTTGTTGTATCCTATCAGTCTGCTACTACTGCAGGCATTACAAAAGAATCATTTACACAATATTTTCCAGTCTAGCTACCTGTGAAAGCTCACAGTCTTGAGAAAACACGTTGTAGCCAATTTGACAGCATAAAAATTTTCAAAAGGCAATAACCTAAGTATGCATACATGAAAATAAGCTATAAAACATATTTGAAAGAATAGCAGGAAGTGTCTGTGCTGTATTTTTCCAGATATGTTATGAGCAGCACTGGCAAAAAACATTGAGTAAAGAAAACCAAAGATGCAAATTCAATTCACTTATCTCCAGCTCAATACATACTGTATTCTCCTCATCAGTTTCATTTTCCTTATTGGAGTCCGTGAGATAATCAGTGTTCTCTTCCTCCTCTTCTTCACCCTCTTCTTCCTCATTGTCAGAGCCCTCCTGAAACATTCAATTTTAACTGCTGACTATTTTAAAACAAGAAGGACAGCTGGTTCCTCAAACATCTCCCTAAACTCCTCATGTTGCTTAGTTCAGTCTTTGTAAATTTGTTTGGTTTTTATTTAATGTTTCAGTCTGAACTCAGCTTTATTACTAATTTCACAAAAGTACAGCAGAAAACTGGGACTGGTGGCTGCTACACACTGCCACAGGCTGGAGGGATGGACTGGCAAGAACTCATGAAGTCCAAAGAAGGGAAATAAAAACATCTCCAAAGGTGCCTTCCCCACCCTGCAATTGTTTCTGATTCTATTGATTCTAATTTATGGGTGAAGGGACAAACCCAGCCAAATTTAATGCTGAGAGACATCTATGGAAAGAAAGCTTATTAATAAATCAGCCAGCCCAAGCATATGGAGAAAAACTGTTCTCTACTTCCTTGATGAACTCATTTTCTTGTAACAATACCATTATCACGTCAACTTTGCTGTGTCACAGTGACAAATCAGAATTTCTACGTACTTGTGGTTTTTTTATTGGCTCCACCATTTTTGACTGAAAATATTATTAGCACAGTAAACAAGGAAGGTTTTATGCTCCATAAATCTTTTATTTATTCATATTGCATAGACATACCCTGAACACCTGTTATTTTTTCCTAATGACTGCTTTGACATTTAGTCAATACATTTGCTTCTAAAACAGATTTATAAAGTCATCTGAAAGTGATTTTTTTCATGCCAAAAGCTGAAGGTATCTTCTTGCTGAGAAGCAGCACATGCCCTGGGCAAAGCTGTCAGATTCAAGTTTCTGCCAAAATAAGAAATAAGCCTCAGACAGTCCGTTTTCCACATACAGGGAACTGGGATGGGAATATCCTCACAGTATTGACTGGGCTGTGCACACCCAGATTTCACCTGCTAGCTCTGACTTAAAAGGGCTTCAGAAAGTAACAAGCAATCAAATTCACTTCTTTTACATGAGGCAAGGTAAATGATTAAGCTCACCTCTTCTTCTGGTTCATTTACTTCACTTTCATTTCCAGATTGTTCCTCTGTCTCTGCTCCACCTTCCTCCTCTTCTTCATCCTCTTCCAGATTCTCTCCTTCTGTAATGGAATCCTTGGAATCTTTGTCATTCACAATTCCTGAAATTTGCAATAAGATAAAGATTTAGAAGATTAGAACACACATATATGTGGAAGATCATGTCGAAAGTCCATTGCTACTGAGCACTAAAACTTATATTTGACTTCTGAGTGAAACATTTCCTATATAGTTAGTTTAGACATAAAGGGTAATAATGTCCTGTCAGAAAAGGAGGGAAACCTTAGAAAGGATGTTTAAAATCTCCCAGAGAACAGAAGAAGCTTTGCAAACTTCCTTAAAACATCCTCAAACTAAATGTGGACCCTACCGACACATGAAACAAAATCTGAGTTCCAAACTACAGAAACTGCACAAAACCAGCAGAACCAGAGACATGAAGCCCCTGCAGTCTTTGCTGCAGTACTTCCCTCTACTGTCAATTAACAGTTTTGAAGCAAATAACTTTCTCAGCCTATTTTAAACCTTTATGACTCTCTCCTAATGCTCTGAGGCTGTGCTTGAACTGTGAGGATGCAGGTGCCTACATGAAATCTCTGGGAAAGCAAAATCTCTTCCACAAGCATGATCTGGGGTGCTCATCCTCCTTGCAGACAGGTCTGACATTCTTACACTGTGTGTTTAGTTCATCTTGCAGTTTCTCTTGCTGACCTGCTTGCCTTCTGTCCCTCAAGATATTTTAGTTTACTCTGTGTGTAACATATCAAACATAAATATCTCCTTTCTTTCAGTAAGGAATCCTTCAATCTGATACCATTATCTGTACCATTTCCCCAGAAGTGAAGAATTAGTCTTAGCTTTTTGCAGTGTTTCAGTGTCCAGTTTAGTCTTAGATATAAATTTCAATCAGACTGTATTTAAGAATTGAGCATGGTTCTGATTCACAAAAAAATTAAGATTTGTTTTTAGAGAATAACTATTGCAATGTTCAAGTCATCCAGTGCAAAAACCCCAAACTTCCAGCATACACTACTGTTCTCATACATTCTTTTTTTTGCTTTTCTTAATTTACAAAGCCACTTAATCCTCCAGAGGACTGCTGATGTCAGACTTCTACACCACTAGTTTTGCTAGGAATTTACTGAGGAGTCAACACAGTCACAGTTCAAGTTTCATTCCTTTTTTGACATTAGCCCAACTGCACTTAGGGTCAGCCAGCAGTGTAAAGCTTTCTGAAGCTCCTGTTATTTGTAGGAAGGAAGTGCTGAGTACCTTTCAAAAGAAGATTACAGTGTATATAACTCATTGTACATGTCTTCTTGGTTATCATTTTGAATGTATGAAAACCATGGGTTTAGATCACACCATATGTATATGGGAATTCTAATCTGCTTTTCAGTTACCACATAGGGAATTTCAAGGCATGTCAATTAAATAAACAGCATTATTTAAAAAAAGAAGTTCCTCCTAAAGCAGAAGCTGGAACCTTTTATGTGGCTATAAGACATACTCATCCCACTGAATGAAAGGATTATTCTTAAAAATTGCATGCATCCAAGTAGGTGAAGTGCTCTAATTAACACTTAAAAAGTGCAGAATTTACATAAAAAATCTTTTAATGAACAAGCTTGTTTTCAAATAAAAATGAAAGATTAGAAAACAATTTATCAAAGAGCACAGTAGTATCCAACGTTTTCTAAGAATGTATACATACAAGAGGTTTAAAGGTTAATATGATGATAAGTTTAAATACTCACTAATCAGTATATTTTCAACTGAGCTGTGCTTCCAGCTCAACTGTTTCTCCTGAAATTAGTGTGATTACTACATTTTTCTGATTAATTATTTTATTCCTCATATTTTGCACCATGTGACTCCATAAATTAACACACACACACTTCTGCCCTCCAAATACTGTTATATTAAGAGTATTCATACTGTTTTTCACAACTTCTATTACTGTAGAGTTATGGAGATTCTGTATGGTATCTATGATGATTAGAAAGAAACATGCAAAAAAGGTACAAAAATGTTTCCATCATGAGAATAAATGATTATAACAATAATAGTTATCTATTACCAACATAAAGAGACAATTTTAAGAACTACAGGAATTGTCAAAAATACCTTATTTCCCTTGCACATTTCTTACCCAATTTTATTAAGAATTCTCGTTCCAAGTCTTGAACCTGTCTGACAGCTTCTTCCAGAGAATTGCAGAGCTTTATCTTTGGTCTCAGCAGTTCCAGTGTATCACTGATCATATAGTCTATGTCTATAGGAAAAGGGTGGTCTTTTGTCCAAACATCCAGACTTTTTTTCCACCACACATAGCGCTGGAATATGAAATATTGAAATCAATTATATGCAAAATTATGTTTATAAACCATTTAAGTTATGAAGTTTAAAATGCCATGTTTATACAGTAAAAAATGCAAAAGCTTTCATGTCACTACTCTTTCATACAACTATTAGATATTTTGATATCACTAAAACTTGTTTGATAACACTGGATATCACAAGCATTAAGAATCATAACTACTGTTATAAGTATGAAGACTCAACAAAAAATGCCTGACAATAAAGTATCTTCCCATGGTAAACTTCTTCTACAAGAGATGACCATTTAACAGCCAGCCAGCTTTTGATTCCTTCTCCCAAATGTTTTCAAGAAAATTAATTTCCCCAAAGGCATATTATGGGGAAAAGGGAGAAAACATCATAAAAAAAATCTCAAGATTGCAGCCAGCTTCAACTGCCTTATCCAGTTTGCTTTACAATAAATTCACATAAACCTCTTACAGTGACACTGTAAAAAATTAATGCTGATTTTATGTGAACCTAACAGCAGAACTTGAGAACCAAGGTGCTGCAAAAACTGCATCTGAAAATGAAGTATGAATAACAGAATCTTACTTAAAATATGACATGCTCAAGAGGAAGGCTTGCTGAAATTATTAGGTGTAACAGGAATATGATGATGTCTTCCCCAAAACATTTCTTTTTGCATTTAAAAATCAGACCATGTCATACTGTGAGCAGCCTGGTCTAGTGGAAGGAGGCCCTGCCCATGGCAGGGGGTTTGAGCAAGGTGATCCTTGAGGTCCCTTCCAACCCAAACCATTCTGAGGTTCTACACTTCAAAACACCATTTTACACCTTACATGCAGGTAAGTGATCTGTATCCTTAAGGTTTGAAATAAGTTATCACCTTAATTTTAATTTTTTAATACCCTTGTTTTAGTACAAATTATAGATAAAAGCAGAAAGAAAAAGAAATTAAATCCAGCAAGTTTTAGCATGAATTCCATGGTCTGGAATTCCTCATTTCAAATTATGAAATATTTTCCCCACTTTGTTACATTTATTGAGTCAGAACTTTCTTTGCTACAAATTGTGCCCATTACCTCTCATCCTTTCACCATTCATGCCTGAGAAGTATCTGACTCCTCTTTCTCTACAAAAACCATTAGCTGAGGACAGCAGCCTAAATAATCTCTTCTTCAAGTTCAGCAAACCCCAGTGTGAGCACTGAGCACCTCCAGATCATTTTGGCATAACTCAACATATCACTTGAAACTAAAACTGCTACGCTACCAGACAGACAAGATTCTACAAATTACAGTATTAGAGAACAATGAGATAAATATGGATCATTTTGGCATAACTCAACATAACATATCACTTGAAACTAAAACTGCTACCAGACAGACAAGATTCTACAAATTACAGTATTAGAGAACAATGAGATAAATATGTACCAGACTGACTTATATTGTTAATTAGCTTGTTAAAGAACTTTACAGATCTGCATAAAATTTAGAATACCTGAAAATATACAAGGAAGCAATCAAGTTTGCGCTTGCTGGATCCTCTGTCAAAATATTGCCCACAGGTATCGAGGATAGTACAGACAAGTCTGATCCTGAAAAGATGTTCTGGAGGGTCCAGTGGACTAGGACTGCCATCAGGGTTCACACCAAACGAGGTGAAGGAATACAGAGTTCTAAATATTACAGCTGACTCCACCATTCGATAATTGTAAAGCTCCCCCAAAAACTTGGCACTGCTGATCCGCCGTTGGTTGAACTTTGGTTGATTAACCTTTATCAAAAAAGAACAGAAAAATTCTCTCTATCATGCAGACACAACAGAAAATTAAAAAACCCAAACCCAACCAATATTTTGCAAAGGAAAAAGGTGTGTAAAAAAGTTGACAGAATTTCTTATAATAAAAGATGGTTATTTATGGCTACATCCATTACATGAAAGTAAACGTTAAAAAGTAATTATGCAAGCTGGTCAGCTAGTAAGTTCCAATATATCTAGCATACACTCCGTCGTAAATTTATGATGATTTTTCAGTCAGAGAAATATTGTAATTATAACAGCTTTTAAAATATGGACTGGTCTCCAAAGTTACTGGAAGTTGTGTAAATCTGTCTACACTGTCAAAGAATAAATTCCACAGCCTTACTGTGATAAGGGAGGCAAAACAATTGTCTGAAGTAATGTTAGTTTGTTTTTGTTGAGGGTTTTTTGGGTACAGTTATTCTATTAACTTAAATAAACCTATACAAAGCAAGTAGAAAAATCATCAGACCAAAAAAAAAAACAAAAAAAAAAGAGAATCCAAGGATTCATTTCTTTAAGCACAATTATTTTAGTTTTCCTTTCAACATAAGTAGATGAGAATAGCTTAGCAAGGATACTGATTGTTTACCTCCATTCCTAGTCGAATATCCTCTAGCACTCCATCCACAACATGAATTCCCACATCTTCCTGGTAAAGGACCAACCCTGCTAAGAGGTTGGCTACACAGTGAATACTATTATATTTCACATTCCAGATGTTGATCATACAGCATATAACATAGTCCTTAACTTCTGCATCCTGCCAAGGCAGCTTGCGCATCTGTCTCAGGACCTAAACCAAATTTTAAGACAAGCTTCACATTTTAGCAGGTAAAATATCAAGATGCTCCCTGTCATCCCCCCCTCTCTCCTGGCTGGGATGAAATCCCTGTAAGCACCTTGCAAACAAGCTCATTCTCCCTTCCAGGTATCCTCCAGACCTGCAGTGGCTATGGAAGACTTTATGTACATAACCCCACTGCTGTCCTTGAGCTACTGATCAAGTTCTCCAAGGCTGTTCCATCATTTCCCTGCTCTCACAGTCTGTATTTAACTGAAGCCTTTTGTCCCATACTCTCCCAACACTCTCTCATCTCACTCTCCCTTTGTTCAGCATTTGATGCTGTTGAGAACACATGTCCACAACTAGAGCTTGTACATGTTCCAATAGAAAAAATTAACCATTTTATTCATGAATGCAAAAAGGAACCCTCTTCCTTGCAACTAAAAAACCACGGCCCTTCCCAAATCTTTTCCAAAGTTACTATTACACCACTTTCAGTAAAAACTGTATTAAAGATTTTGAAAGGATTTACCTTCTCTGTGGTGACCTTGGAGAGATCCTTGTAAAGAAGCTTACGGATATATTCCTGCAAAGGAGGACGTTTTTTCTTCACAGTTTTTTCAGCTGGAGGGGGATTACAGTAGTAATAGGCATTTTCTACCATTGTAACATAGCGTGCATCAAGATGCATTGCTTGTTTTTTCCTCATCATTTGTTCCTGGAAACAAATGCAAATGACCTGTTAGAGATGCTGACATGCCACATTTTCAAGCCAAAGGCTTTTATATCAAGGGTTGCAGAAAAGTAAGTTTAAAGCTTGGGTAGAGAGAAAAAAAGACACAGTACATATATATGGTTCTGTGTTGCTCTTTCCATGGTCATTTTTCTTTATGATGCCTATTTTTATAATGGCTCACCTGTGGTAAAAAAGGTTTTGGAAAAGTATTTAAGATTTAACTCAAAATCTTAATGCTACTATTCAGATAAATGGTTCCTAAGACTACTAGTAACTCTGTTTAAAACATTACTTAACTAGATTTTACTTAACTAAAGTAGCTGAAATATTGATGTCTTGACACAAACACAGTGAATTATGGTAAGACTGGCAATCTACTTTTTACATCAGCATGTAACTGCAGAGAGTTTTTGATGGTTTCATATCAATTTCCAGAGGTTTAGACAATAGAATTTTCCTTATTCCATGCTCCATTACTGCTGCTTACCCAAGCAAAACTGACTGCAAGAAAAACAGTATCTACCAAAAAAGTAATGTTTCAGGAAAAATCAGACAAGACTTAGCACTAATTACTGTGATTAATTGTCATGATTGTCCTGTTTTCCCTCACTTAATAAAATCTCTTCTCTGTAATTCACTTTAGATATGTAAGTTAAGGTTTATTTTGTGGGGTTTAAAAATGTCTTTTATTTAGAACTTCTGTACAAGAATGAAAAAAAAGCAGTTTTAAGCTGCTGATTTTTACAGTTAAAGATAAGCTTAATTTCATTATTAAATACTTTTTAGTATGCATCTGTGTAATTATATGTATATAGGTATAATTCTGTAAGTGATCCTATATATTCTAAATCACTCCAGGGTGGTTCACCAGGAAAACTGGACCTGTGCAAACTTTATTAGCTACTAGAGGTTGGCTACACAGTCATTTATAACTCCAAATAAATAAACAAAATTAACATGTATGTACTGTTTCATCCCTACACACAAATGTTAATATATCCACTCAGGCAGTCCTGTAAACCAACCAAGAGTTTAAACCTCCTTTGAATATTGGTGAGAAAGCACTATTTTTCATGCTGGTGGCCTTTCCACTAAATCTGAACAATTTGAAATTTCTTTTATAAGGCAGACATTTCAGTTCACTGAAATGTCAATGTACTCACAGAGCTCCATAACCCCGAGTTTCAGCTGCTAATTCAATGAGGAGCAGTAGCTTTGTGTAACATAGTAACCCAACAAATAAAGTAAGTTTCCTCCTGGATTTAGTCATCTATCACCAGGAAGGTCTCCTTCTGACACCAACCCTAAGGCATTTCATTCTTAACCTTTTCCACGACACAAATGGTCTTTCCTTTGATTCCCTGTGAGACTGTTCCTTTCCAAATGGGAAATTTCTGTCACTAGCAGCACATTTTCCTACAAGCACCTAGCAGATGCACAAGCATTTAACAACTGAGTACATAAATTGTTTTATATGGGGAAAAAACACTTAGGAGTAGAAAATTCCCAAACTTTACCATGTCATATATGTTAATGTTACCTTTGAAAATGTTTCATCTTTATTTTCTCTTCATAGATCAAGAAAAAATACACCTTTGCTGCCTTAAAAGCATTTATCATGCCATACTATAAAATGAAAAATTAAGTGGGTCAAAGTGAAGCAGAACAGAGAAAATGGCAGAAGGGCTTGCAAATAACATTTAAAACCCCCTAAACCTACACAATTTGTGTATTTTCCTGTTATAAAAAGTTGTACATTTTACTTTAAATAATAGTTTACAATTAAAATGTTTCTTCCCAGAAGAGACAAAAAGAAGTCTCAACATCACTGTAATTTATTGAGTTTTGATCAGTCCTCAGTGTGTGTTCTAACTGTAAGTGGATTGTATTAGTCTTAACCTCTACTTATTAAAAATCTTCAGCATTTCAAGAAACTGTTTCAGTCATTTTTCAGGTAAGGCATCAGAGGGACAGGCAGGAAAGAGAAATCATAACACCACACTATTTGTAGTGATAAAAACTTTGATGAAATTCAGAAGAAAAAAGCAAGACCTATGGTCCAAAGTGCTTTAAGCCCATCAGCTATTTTGGGTCCTCATTTTTCTAGGCGAAAATGAAGAACTACACAGGTAAAGCACGACATCAAAGATTAGGTTTCCCTTTTTCCTTTGATAAAAACAAACCACAACCAAGAATAAAGTATCCATGTTAAATTATTAAAACTGTTTGGCTTTTTCTTATTGGTGAGTAGAACAATCTTTCTGCATGTAGCATATATGACAGAAGCATTTCAAAAGAAAATCTGGTGACCGTTAGGGGGGAAAAAAAAAGTAACTAATAAAAATCTAAGCATCATGAGAATTCCAATTTTGGAAAGCATTTCAGCATGACTGCCATTTAAACATCAGATTATAGCAAGATACTGAAACTGTTCAGCTCCTGCTCCCCTTTAATACCTGCACTGCTCTGCCCTGCTACTCATTGTGACAGTTCAAAATGGAAATTTTTCATTTCCTGGAAGCACGTTATTGCTACAGTGAATGAACACAGCTCTCCATGAACTGCATTTACTGTGCCACAGCCTCTGCCTGTACAAACAACATCTCCCAGTTTTAACACCACCAGTAAAAGCAGTCACACCAAGAAGGAAGTCACCGTGTACCTTCTGTATATTTATTAACACAAGTGATCTGGCCCTAAAGCTTAAAATAATTGTCGAAGTTAAATGATTAAAAATGCATCAGGAAGCTTTTAATACCAGAATTTCAAATATTCTTTCAGCAAGACCACAACAGTATAATACAATAATTTGACATTTAAACTCAATTATGTTACAGAAACATAGATCAAGATGAAGCTGATCTTCCTTTCAAAGCTCCAATTCAAATAATCCAATTCAAGTAATTCATTTATCAACTGATCAATCCTAAAGCCAATCTATTTTTACATTAGTATTTTAAATTACATAAAGGACACTGAATTGGAAAGATTTGCCAAGAAGACCATTACTAGAAATAAACATTGTCCTAATAAAAGAAGAATCTCTAAATAATCTGCAAAACATGAAGTAGTTCCACAAAAACAGGATATGATCACTAGAATAAGTTACTTAGTGCCACTAAATTAGCAATGTCCTTACAGAACACTTTACTTCTCAATAAGTAATTTTTCCTTAATTACTTTTAAAATCCATTCTTAACCATGACTTTCTTCTACACCAAGACAAAGCAACATTGTCTTTAATAGGAGACGCAGCCTGTTTGGAATCTTATTACAAAATACATTGTCAGCAGAAGAGATTAGGACCAATAATTATTTAGAGGATCAAGAGGCCTTAATTCTGCCCATAAGAGTAGATCAGCTTTACAACTGCTTGGATTTTTGCCACAAGATTGTTATCAGCTTGCTTTGGGAGAAATCTCTTCCACAGTTCACACTAACTTGTACCATGAGACTATGATCCAATTTGTGTAAGACTATTTAAGTCAAAATTAATCTCTGCAGGTTTTTTTAGTGGAATGTTAGAAAATGCAGTTATTAAGATGGATGCAGAATATAATTCTATTTAGCCTATTTTACACCTTAATAAATATATATTCCAAACTTATTTGCCATCTTTCACCTTCTTTTGGTTCCTCAATGCATAAGAAAAACTACTTATCCAAAACCTTGTGAGGCTTTAAGGCTCAGTAATTCAAACAGTGTTTGTGGTTTGTCCTGCACTTCCCAGTTAAGCCATGTTTAGCATTCATCCAGCAGATTCCAGCAATCCAATCTAACAGTCAGCATTTTTATAGTGCATAACATTAAAGGCAATCAGTTACAAAAACCAGCTCTGGTATAAGTATTTAACTTTTCCTGACTTCTAAAACTTTTATTAACTACCATAAAGTGATAGCAATGAGTAAAATGTCTTTTAAAGCTAATGGAACTGAGTTTTCAAGGGAAAAATCCTTGATTATGGAAAGGAATATATTTCACAATAGAACACATCAGCTGGCAAACCTTTAGCAAATTGAGACTCAAACCTTTCAAGATACAAAGTGCACTGCTACAAAAAGTAAGAGCCAAGGAAGAGGCAGTTAATTTACCCATCTCTTTCCTCTCATGACTCCAGCACCTCAACAGATGTTCTGACATTCAAAGAGGTTCAGAAAAAACCCAGTATTTTGTGGAAAAGAAATTGTACAACAATATACCCAAGTATGCAACTGCTTCTCCATTAACAAGAAGAGAGACTACTGGTTTAAGAGAAAGTGAATCTATCTTTGAAGGTCTTCTTCAACCATGTCTGACTTTGTCTCTTGCCCTGGACAGAGAGTTTTAGGATCGTCTCCCAAGTCAGTATATATATTTTTCAGTTCTTGTTATTATATATTCACTTCTTGTTGGTTTTAAGTCTTTGCCAGTACTTCTCCAGACTTACAGATCCCAATTCTAATGTTAATTCCTGATCTCTACTTCTGAAACTGCTTCTCTTAGTGTCCTCATGAACTTTTTTTTCCACATTCAGAATCCCAGATCATTATACAAGGCATAGAAATCACCTCCTGCAAAATGTCTTCACTTCCAGTTGAAATCATGTCTGGTTCTATTCACTACTATTTGTCCCTCAAACACTATTTCAGGCATGTTCAGGGTACAGCTACAACATTCTTTCAACCTCATCCTCTGGGTTTGCCCTGTCTAGAATTACTAGAAGTTCAATAGCAATAGCTTTTCACTTCAGAAATTTAATTCCTTTTTTTACATTTTTTTTCAATCATGAAGAGGTTTTTAGGTCAACTGGAGTTCTCGAGAATAGTTCCAAAAACAAGTAATTGCTTTAACTCAGAAAATGGCACCTTCCCCCATAAGACAAGAAGTTTCCTCTTACCAAAAGAACGCTGGTTCTTAGGTGAGATTCTGGTGATCTGAAGAGGAATCTTCCACAGGTTTCCAGCAAGGTACACGCCATTTCAATGTGGTGATGAGAGAAGTCTGACAGAAGCATCTGGTATGTATTTACACAAAAGCACAGCTTGTTAAACATCTTTTTCAGCTGCAGAAAACATCAAGTTATATCTACCAGACTGGACACTCTGCTGGGGTACTACATTCTTTATGGAATAAATGCCAATGGATTTCACTGATCAGATGTTAGGATTGGCAAGGCCCTGGCACAGGTTGCCCAAAGAAGTTGTAGATGCCCCATCCCTGGAAGTGTTCAAGGCCACTTGGATGGAGTTCTGAGAAACCAAGTCTAGAGGAAGGAGTCCCTGTCCAAGACAGGGGGCTGGAACCAGATGATTTTAAGGACCCATCCAACCCAAACCATTCTACAAATATTCAAAAGATTAATCTCATTTTAAAATTCTTATAAGAACAGTCTGTGGACTCCAAATTTAGGCTTCATAAGAACAGGATCCTTTCAAAGACCAGCAAAAAACCCCCACCCAAACCACTCAATAATACTGCACAGTAACCTCAGAGCACAGCTAACTGCACTGTCTGCAGTTAAGCAGTAACTATAATTAATACAGTTTTGCATTTTACAGCATTTTATAGACAAGATAGGTGAAATTATGAGTGATTACAATTTCTTTAGGAATTCAGCTTTGATATCTAACAAGTCAATGAATAGAAACTATTCATATAGAAAGTGATGTTAAGCTGTGAGTCTCAAGCATCTTTTATTAAAGGCACTTTTATTTTTTAAAACCTATTTTTAATTTGGGACTTGATGTCAAGGTTTGAATGTTTATCCACATGCAAAGTGAGATGATGTGCCTAGAGATTAATGTTTTCCAGAGATGTTTTGTTCCTCAACAAACAAAAGCATCTGCTAAAATGGTATAAAAGCCTCTCCTTGCATCACTGAAATGCTTTCTGCCTCCAGTCTCTCTCCCTTATTGCTATTTTCTCCACAAAATCATTAACTGAAATCAAAATTATGGAAGTTTTACAATATACAGCAGATTAATAAGTAGCAATGTGTGCCATACTTCCAAAGAAAATTATGTCCAAATGTAGAAGTTTATTTTAATATATTCCTCCCATTAGAAGAGATAAAACCTTCTAACTTCTACAGCAGCTTTAAAAGTCTCCTCATACACAGCAGCCACAGCCTCCAGGGTGTAAAACATCCCATGTAATGAATTCAGGTAACATCAGCAGCAGGTAAGTGAAGGGGAATAGGAGGGGGACATTGTCAGCATGCACAGGAGCACAGGACTATCACAACACCAACCTTTAAACACTGGAGAGTATCATTTTTGGAGAACATCTTAAACTTGGCAAGCTCACCAATAAATCTGACAGTTTTATTCTTTGTTTCAATGTTGATCTGGTCCTTTTTTTTTACCTAAAAATCAACCAAAAATTGATGGTAAGCCCTCAAAAATACCTACTTCTTCTAAATGACTTTCATCTGAACATGCACAAAACACACCTGGGAATTCAGCAGTCTTGGGTACCACTTTGGTTCCTCAAGCTCCACCTTTACTTCTCATTGGGTTTCCTAAAGCCCTCCCTACCACCTTGTTTCTTCAGAAGATTTTTAATTCTGTTCCCCATCTTCCCACCCCCCAAAACAATTAATTCCTCTAACATACCTACAGCCACAAATCCTCCTCCTTTGCCCCAGTGAAGTGGTGATAAAGTATTCTAGATTCTGTATTTTCAGAATCAATAAGAAGTCTCTATGTGAATAGGGCCACTTGTACTATCCTCAAGGAAACATTAATTATTGATGGTTTTTAAAGTCAGATTTAGTAATCTGCAGACTTTTAAAATTACTGACTTTCAGCATAAATTTAGGAACCAAACACTAATATATATATCAATGTCTAAACATAACCTGCAAAACAGAAAATTGTATTTCCCCAACAGAAAGGTTTTTCTGAGAAAGTTAACATTAAGATTCAAGTAAGTCTGAACAAACTATACATATGTTTCATGTCAATATTAGAAAAAAAAATTGAAAGCTGTGCCACAGAGCTCAGAAAATGGTGAAGAAATTGTCACTGTGCACCATAACAAGTTTGGTTATAACAGTTAAAAGGAAAGTGAAGGAAACTACACTGAAAAATACATTTGTGTGGAAAATTTTGATAGATGAAAATTGTAAAATCTAATTTTAATTAAATATTATATGATAATACTGATCCCTCCAATAGGGGCCTTGTAGTGGGAAATGCTAGAATAGGTCAGGTCTCACTTTAAAAACAAGTTATTTATTTACAGAAAACTCTTAACAGATGGAGCAGAGCATCTAATTTTTGTAACTTCTGTTGTAACTGTTGTACAGTTCATTTATATAAATATGTAAGCATATATGGGAAGTTGCAAAAACTTCTCTTTTAGAAAGACTTACAAAGTTACAAAACTTTCTCTTCTTTTTTCTACAACTGCTGAGATGACAGAAAAATATGCACTGAATTTTAGAAGTAGTATCTACACAATACAAAGTGGGTATTTTCCCCAAAGGTCAACTTATGAGATTAGTTGATCTGGTTTTAATAAAAATATAAAGCACCAAAACATACATGGAACCTGAAATCCCCTCTCAGCATGGAACAGAGATCCTCTGCTACATCAGACATACAGGGATGCAATGTGGCAACCAGTCTTGCATAAAATGGTAGCAAATCCAATCTGCAAACAAAGGAGAGGATAAAATAGACAATTTATAGACAAAAATGTAGTTATGTGTACAAATATGGGTACCATTTTACTTGTGAAAAGAATCAATGCACTGACAGAACTACACACATGCAATTTTTTTGGCCCACTTCAGAATGAAATATCATTTAAAAATAATACAAGAAAGTAAACCCCCATATCCTGTTGGAATACTCCATAGTTCACTTCCTTTTTAACTCCTGCCATAGGTAAAATGCTGAATTCCATCAACTACAGAATTTGACTTTCAATAAATTACCAAACAGAAAGAAAATTCAGATCCATCTCAACATGCAAAAAAAGGTTCTTACAGACAAGGCTATGGATTATGGCAAGGTATTAAGACTTTTTCTGAAAAGCAGAAGACATAACTAGGAAGGTAGAAAATATCTTTACTTTTAAGGTGGAAAACTCCTAAATGAATAGTAGTTATTACATAAAAGAAAGCTGAGCAGATGTGATGTGGCCACTCATTTCCCAAAACTTCAGCTAACACTCCCACAAATGGTAATATTTCCAAGTTTTCTATAGAATTTCCTTATTTCCTTCTCTCTTGCCTTAATTACATGCCTTCACACAGATTTCCTTCGCACATTTATGCAAACCAGCTGTGTATATATCAGTTTTAAATGCAGAGAATCCAACTGCACTCTGAGGCCTCATAATATCATCTAACAAGCTGAAGGAAGTATTTTTGATTTATTTTCAGAATGTTAAGTTAATGCAGTAAACAGATGAACTCTAGAACAAGCCAAAGTAAGTGGAGAGGAACATCCTAAATTTGCATGCTTCTACAGAGAAACTGCCTGTAAGGGAAAAATGCATCTTGAGTTTACACTTTATGCAGAATTAAGGTTTTCCCTAGTGCTCAGGAAAGGAAAACAAAAAAGAAAAAATATGCTAAAAAAAAAAAAATAAATCCAAAAGCACAGAGCTTGTCCTGGCACAAAGCATCAAGACAAAAACTCAAAAACAAAGCCATCACAACTGCCTCCTTTCTCCTTTTACTGGAGCCCATTTCCAAGACATTTAATACCCATTTACAGAAAGAGACAATTATGTATTTCAACTGTGGGTTAGAAGCATCAGAATATACTCCCCCAAAAAGCATAACCAGGCAGCCTCCTGGTAACACAAGACTCCTGGTGAAACATTGTGGCTATCTCAGTTACCTATTTAAGAGGTTTTATCTCTTCTGTTAATCAATAACTGAAGCAGTATTTACATTTTTGAAGCTTGTTGGAACAGACAGTCAAGGCTGACTACCCACATCAAATTACTACCATGTTATTAAGCATTTAGCCATTAACTTTGAGACAAGTGAAAGTCTCACTACTTCACACACACCCACAAAAGCTAAACTAAGAGAAGACTGTGGCTGAGCTAAGAGGGTGTATTTAACTGAGGGGATTTCTGTATGGCAACTCTTTTAAAACAAATACCAGAAGGTTTTATTCTGGTCTCAACAAGTACCTGCCTGCTGAGAGCTAATAATTTCATCTCTGTAAACTGAGTATACCTGGGGGAAAATTAAAGTCTTAGAGCACATTGTTGTTATACCCTTGCAGGACACAAAAGGTTTCTTCATGGGGAAGCATACCAAGACTGGGTATTTCTAAGTAAGTGAAATATAATAAGGAAAATGCTTGGGTTAATTATGCTGAAATAGGCAATCAGAGATTGAGTTTGTTCTCTCTCAGGGGAGACAAAAATTCATGTTCAGCAGTGGAGACATTCCAGTATCAGTGGCACCATCTACTGGTACATGCAGTGCTTCGTTCCCTCCAAAAGCATTTTTTCTCTTGAGAAGGGGGGAAGAACCTAACTAAAGCCTCACAAACCCCACAGTATTGCTTTCCCTTCCTGCTCTTCTGGTTATGAAGCAAGATCTGGCAGCAGGGATGGGGCAGTCACTCTCTGAAGTACCCTGAATATTCACTGCCACAGTACAAAGCACCACTTCTGACCACTGTCATTTAGACCACACACCATGGACTGAAATCTAGTCAACTCTGGATCTCAGGCTCACATGAGCTACACATCAGCAAAATGTCTAAGAGCATATCTTTTTTTCTACTATTTCAAATGTCAGCTTATTTTAAAAAGCCCAAACAAACAAAACCAATCATAAACCAACTTACAGGAAAACTTATCTCAAAGTCCTAACTGCAATCTCTCTAAAATGCATGCACCCAAAATTTTATGCCTGGGAAGAGTGAAGGGGGCATTTTGTACATTTCCTAATTTCTGTGATTCTATAAGACAGCTTAAAGAATGAAGCAATGGAGCCAGAACTCCTGCCTCACAAGCACAATGATAATGGATAAAAGCAGTGCATTCACAGGGCCTGAACAGGTACTGAGTGCCACCCACACTGCTCAGTGGGAAGAGAAGGATGATGTAGAATTGGAATGTTACCAGGGAAGCACTTTTGGCTTTTATTTCTTTGCCAGGACGTAAAACTCCTTGATCTCAAGTACATCCCTCAATTTTATCCTCACCTGGAACAGGCCATGCAAACACTGATAAGTCAAGTTCAACTGAACAAAAAGAACCTTGCTACAGAGAAGTCTCAGGATGAAAAGCTGACAGAAAATACACAGGAGGCTTGCAGCTTTTGAATTAAAATGTGAACAACTATGTAACACTTAAGAAGCAGCCAACTACTGAATGAAGAACAACCAATAGTAACACAAAAAATTCCATGTGAACAATGTATCTTTTGCTGCAGGTAAACTTGCAGCACAGATCACCCACGATGGGAACATCAAAAAATACCCTAAGCCACAACAGCCCCTATATACTGCTTAACATTTATCTAGAATTGTTGAGAATTTAAAGCCTAAGAAAATATTTCAGACTTCTCATATTGAAGTAAAAGAAAAATATTTACAGAATTGCAGTATTCTGGTAAACCTAAATAATTCTGTGTACAGGAAGATAACTCAGCAAAGAACCACACAAAAAGGTCCTAAAGCTGTGAGCAGTATGGGTTAAATCACTGCCTGCAGTCCTGGATTAAAAGGCTAATATTTAGTTTTAAATCAATCCTCCAATGCAAATGTGAAAGCCACTCGTATACTGGCATTGAAAACTCTTTTTAAAAGGCCTTCTGTTCTGTTGGGTTGGAGGTTCAAATCGCAGCTGAAAATGTAAATGTGATCCATTCATCAGTATTCAACAGAGCAGGGCAGAGATGCATTCTAACACTGATTTACAGTGAGCTGAGGAAGAAATGGCCTTTTTTGTCAAATTAAGTTTTCTGTCCTGAAGAATCCTGATTTGTCCCAACCCATCCAACCCTAGTGGTAGCAAGAAAGCTCCCTGGCAACGTTACATAATGACTTTGACTTCACAGGGTCTGTTTTACACATCAAACAAAAAACCAGTTTTACACTTTCTTGATGAAACTGTTGTGCCTGCACATTTCCCAAAAGTGATCTCAGGAGAAGAAACAGAACTTATTCTGTCATTGAAATACCTCATTATGGCTGCAAATAAAGCAGTTAACTTAAACAGCATTAACTGATATCCTTGGAAACTAAATGCTTTTTGCAAACATACTGCTTTATCTGCATCTTCAAGGACACTGCTTCTCTGAAGCTTTCACAAAAAATCCCCCTCAAAAACATTAGCCTAGACAGAAAACTTAACAAGCACTCTTCTCCCACAGTATCCCAGAGAGATATTGCAAAAATTCTTGGACTAGTAAAAACAAGTATGGAACAACAATAATGGAAGATAAAGCCATATCATTATGGTTCAGTGAAGTGATGCACAGCACAAAATCATCATTGATGCACAGAACACAAAGCCCCAAAGCAGTGTGTTACAGAATATACAGAATTTTCTATATCAGAAATTACTGTAAATGCTGATTTGAAGACACACAGTAGAACTGCTCTTTTACCCACTGCAGCAATACAGTTTACTTAAATATTGGGATAGGTTGCCCTTTCAAATTGTCTGCATCTATGGGCAGTTCAGCTGGTATTTACCATCCAGCTGCTTGTTCAGAACAAATAGCTCAGTCAGCATCCTGTTTCTCCAGCTGAATAGCCCAGAGATGGGCTCACCAATGCAGGCACAAAAACACAACTGAACTCAAGATCTTAAAAGAATCAAGGTAGCCTGAGTGTGTATTAGTCAACTAAGTCCCAGAGCAGACAGCAGAAAAAGGAATTTTTTAAAAAAAATTGTACATCAAATGTTAGTACTTATTAATATTAGGAATAATTCATATTTATAATCAAAGCAGAGAGATCAGCTGAGCCATTCACTTCAGTGTTAGCTCCAACTACTGGAGACCAGAACCATCACAGAAGCAGCAGCTCCTCGAGGCTATCCCACCATCTATCCTGCTCTGTTGAGGTCCATGAGAAAAGTGAATATTTTTAAAATTATTATTACTTTTAATACAAATCCACAGGGCAATGGAATTACAACTGGGAAGATGACAAATCAATGGCAATGAGGAAACTATGTGTGCTTCTAGGAGTTTATTAACTCTGTTCACAGTACAGCCTGATCACAGACACATTTTTTAACAGTGCAATATATAAAGAATTTAACTTTTGCTTTCATTCCATCTATGAAATCACACTGCTGAATTTACAAGCCTTATCATGCTGTTCCCATGTGAAAGTACCTCCTTTCACTGTGCACATCTACAAGTTCCTCCAGATCACCGTCACCTACCACAATTCAGGAAATTATGCAAAGAGAATAAAGAATTTTCAAAGAGGTTCCAAGAGTTAATAATCAATTTCAACAATCTGGAACCTACAGCACCAGGAAACAATACAGGGCAGTGGTACAAACATTACTGTAAGGTCATAGACCAGCCAAAAAAACACTTCCATTTTACAGGTATGGAAAGTTCTCTATTAAGGCAGAGCTGAAGACAAAAGTCTAAGTGCTCCTGCTGATTTTCTTTGCTGTAGGTGTTCTAAGCTGTGAAAAAGAAATTCTTCTCATGTTGTTTTTTGAAGCATTTCATGATTACCAGCAGGCAGATAAACAGAAATGTTTCTCAGTAACCTACATTTGGGCTGAAGAGCACCTTGTTACATCTAACACAGAAGATAATCAGTTGCCTGTCTCCTCTGTCATTAATTAATTAATATGTTAGGCACAATCAGGCCTCTATCAAAAACTCCAAACACTGAGGTCAAACCTGTAAGTTTTACAACCTACATTTGGGCTGAAGAGCACTTTGTTACATCTAACATAGAAGATAATCAGTTGCCTCTGTCATTAATTAATTAATATGTTAGGCACAATCAGGCCTCTATCAAAAACTCCAAACACTGAGGTCAAACCTGTAAGTTTTAGAAGCAAGAACACACAAGAGAATGAAAGATTATGTGCTCTGCTTCACCGTGGAGTCAGGTTAATGCTTCAGTCAGCAAACAAACCACTGGTCTGCACACAGCAAGAGAACAGGGTTATTAGCACAGCAGATGCTTATTACAGATGGGATGTAGAAAGAGGCTGAATTAGGGTTGGAAACACAGCACATGCAGTGATTAAACTCAAAGAAAACAGAGCACCAAAGTCTGTTTATTCAAAGCCAGTCTACACATGTGTTGAGACAGAGCAGGTACTCAAGTCATGTTTTCCCACCCAGTGTTAAAAGGTAATGGAATCAACTCTTAACAAGAATTCCAAGATGACCATGTTCATATTATACTAAATTCAGCACCAAAACAGCTCATCACGAGAAACAGGGCAAGGTGAAGCAGCTTCTTCATAATTTCATAATTTCACCTATTTAAGGCTCAAGTTTACCAGAGAGCAGAGAAATTGAATTTTTTTTGAGGAATAATCTATGTTTTTATTTGAATATTTGCAAACATTTTTGGAAGCAGGACTCTTCCTGTAAGTGCAGGAAATCTGCTTACACAGAGACAAGGAGAAACAGCAAGAGCTTTACAGAGGCAGCTGGACACAGACAAAAGAGGCCAGGCTCAAAGTGGCTGGCCTAGAACTGGCTGTTGCAGAAGGCACAAGGCTGTTAGAGTGGCCATGCACCACATCAGAATTAACACATCACAAGAAATCCTCCTTCTAAACTACACTGTGCTCTAAGTGTCCACAGGCTCTAACACAAACAAGTGCAAGTTGTCCTGAATGAAATAAAACCTCCCTTTTTGGTATCAGGTAGGTTTTGCTGTTATTTTCACAAAAATTAAAGTAATTTAAAAAGTAATGAAAAGAGATCTGCTGTAAACACCAAATACCAGAAAAAAATCCTTATTAAAAACCTTTATTTTTTTTAGAATTTATCATGGTGTGGATCATTAATTCTAAATATTTCTTTGGTGCTTCAGCATAAGCCACTCCAAAAGTGCAGATCAGGAATAAACAAATGGAATATATACTAGTTTTAAAAAATACATGCACATGCTAAATTAAATAAATAGGTGGATCCAGCTTGGTCCCCTTCTGTTCTTACCTTTGTCTAGGAACTATGAAAAGTGCTCGGACCAGTTTTCTTCTGTTGGCTTTTGTATTCATATTCATGCAAAAATCCATTGCTGCCTGTAAAGAGCAAAGTTAATGCAATACTTCACTTTAATGCAGTGGCTTTTCAAGAAAGCAACAGAAAATGGTGTTTAAACATGGCATTTACAGAATTACTCCTACTACATACAACTGCTTAAAAAAAAACAAAGAAAAATCTTCAGTTTTGGCTAGAAATGGCATAGTCAGAAAACATGTCCACTGAGAGGAGTACAGACTAAAATTAATTCAGCTACTGTCAGACTCCAAAGCTTGAAATCTTTATTTCCTATCTATCTGATCTAGCATTACAGCTTTTAAGAGTGCAAAAAACTGAAACTATGACCGTACCTTGTCTATGAGGTCTCTGTTGACACAATTTGGAAGCTGCTGAAGAAAAGCATCTACTATGAGTTTTAAATGAGATCCAGTACTGGCTTCTTCATCCTCTTGTTCTAACAGAGGGAAATAAACAGGCAGCAGACATTTTTAAACTATGAAATATAATCATATACCAACACATTCCCCAAAAGGTGCATTTGTAATGTTTAGCTGTTAAGTATTCATTGCTCTTTGTAGTCACTTTTCAGACAACTACCTTTACATTTGCTTACTTTTAAAAGCTGTGTGAAGGAATTGGTAACTTTCACTACATAAACATCTTTAAAGTAATTTTCACTTGTATCTGAATGACTTGCTACAAAAACATTTATCACAATCCTAGCAGTTTCTAGCTGCTAGTTTCATAAATAAACAAATTGTCCTGCACTCTACAAATCCACAAACTAAACAACCAAGTCAAAAAAAAACAAATCACAAAGAAAAAGAATTCTTAAAATAAATTCTTTTTACCTTGCTCATCAAGAAGCTTCTTTGTAAGATCTTCTGCCTCATCTCCACAGTCCAACTCCAGTGCATCATCATTAATATCCAGGTTCTCCAGCTCCAATTCCAGATCCTCATTCCCAGCTGCTTCTTTATTATCTTTGGCATCTTTTGAATCTGTTTACAAGTTAAGTAGAAATACCAAATAAACACTAACAAACTGTTAAATATACACAGTCATTACATTATTAGAATACAGGAAGGTTAATGCTGCTAAACCTGCATCTCTTTAGTGTCAATCTTTTTTAAAAAGGAAGAAGCAGAACAAGAGGAAGGTGCTGATGAAATAACATGTTATATAAAAGGTCAAATAACGATTATTAGTTTCTTTGAACACGGTATCTGAATCTGATAAAGATTCAGAAAAGAATAGTTAATATTTTTCTTGGACCACAACACTGGTCCAACACTGAGCATTTTTCCAAGAGATTACAATCCACAGAATTTTACTGTTTTTTCAGGCCTCCTTGCAATTGCATTTGTACACTATGCTTCATTAAAAAATATATACATTTCAAGGCAGATAATCTTAATAAAATTCTAAAATTTTTCAAAGCCAAGTATGACAACTTCTAAACAGTGCACACACCATATGGAAATACAGACTCACAAACAAGCAACATGTTCAGAATCACAGACAAAATGAGTCTGAAGTGGACTTTGGTGATACCTCCAGTTCAACCTTTTGGCCAAAGTGGATGAACACTATTCACACCAGATTTCTCAGGTGTTTTTCCAGTTGTTTTAAAACAGTAAGACAGAGATTCCAGTCTCCCTGGGCAAGCTGCTCCAATATCTAAAGAGCCTTACAGGGAAATGTCAGAATTCTCCAATCATGCATCTTCTGTTACAGTATGAGCCAGGAATGGTGACTTTTTATCCCATTGTACCTGAAGTCTGCACATGCCTGGTTGTGAACTGAGAGCTGTGTCAGAAGTAAGGAAGCACCCAGGCCTTCTAATCTAGAGAAATTTTATGCTGACAATTAATGTTCACCTACCATTAATAATTTAATAAGAAAGTAACAGTGAAAAAAACCCCAAACACTAACACCTTCAAAAAAGGGAAAACTCTTCCCATTTCTCACAGAAAAGTTGCTATTTACTCACACTGGTTAACCTCCAATTACTTGAAATTTACAGTTCTAACAATATTAAAATGCATTTACCTTTTTTCTTCCTTAATAACCAGAGGTAATCCCTATCCCACCTAGTTCATCCCCTAAAAATTCATCCAAACTGGTGAACTGTCCTGATGACCACAAATTATTTCATTAGAGACTCATTACTTCCATCAAGTTTGTTCATCTGTTGGACAAGATATGTTGAAGAAAATACGCATCTAAGCATCTTACCTCTTGATTCATCTTTGCTGGAATCCTTGTTCTGGGAATATTTTTCATTATCTTTAAACAAAATTGCTGGCACAAAAGCCTTCAAGTCAATGAGATTCTCATAGAAGTTTCTAGCATCTTCATCTTCCCAGATACCCCCCTCCAGGTCATATTCTCCAGGCTTTCCTGGTGTGAAAATATCAATACCAGGTCCATGTTCTGCAAAAGTAGTGAAGCAATAATAAAGTTATTTACACAAATTTACAATCTTCTATGGGGAGGCACCTTTAAGAGTCCTTTTAGGAAAGTGTTAAACTATTTATTACTACATCTGTTTTCACCTGAATACTTCAACACATACTTTAAAGTGTTTTTAACAATTCAATCTTAGTAATAGACATACCAAGAAATTATCTTAAAATCATAAATTTCATTTTGATTAAAAATACAGACAGAATCAGAGGAAGTCAAATCAAGAAAAACTGAGCAGCACATTATGTGATATTACAAAGTTATAACAGACTTTAACAACATTAGCATTAAAAGTAATCACTTTGAGTATGATGAACTGTATGTACCTCATTGAGTTTTAAGAATGAAGTTTAAAAAGAACAATTTAATACTTAGAGGCATTAAAAAAATAGAGCTTTTTAAAGTTCAAGATAATTTAAAGCAAAAGATACTAATCATTTCAACATCTCAATGAATCTCAGAGTTTAGATTTAAAGGCACTGAAAGCTGCACTTCTGCTCAGGAGGTCAGACAGCCACACCTAGTGACTTATGTGGCTTATCAATGTTCCTGCCCACAACATCATGACCCAAAATAGACTTCAAGCATATTTTTTATCAGTATCAGCTTTTAAAACTCTAACAGTTTTTAAATAGTAAAACCTGCATAATATTAAATGAAAGGATCAGGTTAAAAACATTTCCAACTTTCCATTTATTACTCTATCCCCAGAAACAAACCTAAAGAGCTATTACTTAGGTTTCCATAACTACTCAGAATATACAACAGTTATGATTACATATTAGGCATAATTACATTAATTAAAAAAAATTAATTAATTATTCATTAGCTGATATCCTTTAGGGGAAAGGCTGAATGAAATGAAACCAGCAGAAAGTACACATTGCTAAGAAGGTTTGGTTAGTTTTTCCAGCACATCCAAGCTCTGCCCAGGGTTCTGTTGACCTGCTTTAAAATCTGGCTTACCCTCAGGTGTTGGCTTCTCTTGGGGGAGGTCAGGCATGTTCTCATCCAGAAGATCAGCCAGAGACTGGGAATTTGCCAACAGCTTCTGATAGGACATTGCAAATTCCTCATACTGCTTGTGTCGATCTTCACTCAGCTCTCCTTTGGAGTGCAGAATGCGTCTACAAAACCAAACTTACAGTAAGACCTCCTTCTTCTTTAAAGCATTTTAGCTATGCTGAACCATTAGGAATTTCTCTGAGCAAAGCTAACCTGCCCTCTGAGGGAACTGTAACAATTCTAGTTTAGACTGCAATATCAGTATTATTTTTCCAAACCACACTGAATTTCCTGTACAGGACAGTACAGTCACAGAAGCTCCAGCTTCCACGTGAAGAGAAGACTCTTTGCCACAATGAGGCTGTAAAAGTCCTAAAAAGACTTATATAGTAAAATAGAATATTCATCTTTATCAGCAAGCTAGATAAAAGTTGATTTGCACCTGTAACAATCCATTTCCACATTGTTTAAATGATTACATGAACTATTATCACCAGGAGGGTCAAAAAATTTGCAAGCAGTCCACTGACTTTCCACCAAAACAAGTTCTTTCAAGGCTATCAGTCCAAATTGTGAGCAGCTGTATTTGTTTCTTCACCTGCTCTTTATTTTCTTTTACAAAATTATTCATACTTGTTTCAAATTATTTTTAACATTGAAGTCTGTTGTCAAAAGTAACTTGCACTTGAAAGAAACTAATCACTGCTTACAAGTGCTGGAACCACTGACCAGGCACCCTGCACTGAGATGAAAGCATGAGAAGTGTGAAAAAAGGTGCCAATGCCACAATTCCCAAAGCAGGTTTTATCATTACATTATCATCTGTAGGATTCCATTACCATCAGGCTTTTATTATGCAAAGGCAAACAGTCCCAGTGTTGCCAAAGCATTTTGTGGCATAAGAATTCTGAAATAGTTAAGGCAATGTAAGTTGAGGGATATCAGTCTTGTTCCAGGTCAATGGTAAAACAAAAGTCTTTTTGTACACATTCACAGGGTGAGCAACAAAATCCCTTATCCCTGCTCAGAACCAAAAGTGGACACAGGTGTCTGACAAGAGAGCAAGAAGCATTAATGCTGGCAGAAGTTCTATTTTCTCTGACAAAACACACTTATTTAACATGTATTGCCTGCTCCTGCGAAGTACAGCAAAGAAAAATTAACGAATTAGATAACCACTGAGTATTTGTGCAGTGCAGTAGTTCAGTTTGAATTCAGGAAACACATGAAGTGTCATTTCACAGCCTTTCCATGGAGACCACTGTCCATTGCATGCATATTTTAAACCAGTAGCTTTATAAACACGAGCATTGAAGCTCTCTGCTATTATCAAAAAACAAAAAAAGCAAAGTGCTGTAACAATAGTACAAGACTTTCAGTTCTCAATTTCAGTTTCAAGAAGACAAGTGTTAACAAATTCAAAGCAGCTAAAGCAAATGAAGCAAACTTTAAAAAGCATGGCTCACCTCTGAATACAATTACAAGTACAGCACACAGACTTGTCTTACTTTATGTCTCTTCAAACACAAGGCAAGCTCAGCACATCTTTAAAAAGTCCTTAATTTAGACAAAATAAGTTTCTTCCCCAGCTAACACTTATTTTTGAAAACTCTCTTCAGAATATGGGAATCAAGGTGTTTTCTTCCAATGACACAGCCTGACAAGTTTTGTTGTGCCCTCAGCTGTGTAACCAATGACCACCAGGTTCTGTGTTGTATTAAAGTCAAAGAGTAACTCAAGGTACTTTTCCTAAGCATCCATTTAACCAGCAGTGCCTGAGTCTGCTTTAATTTTACCTGAATTATGCCACAGGTAACACAGCACTAAAGCACTGTTAATTTAGCATAGTAATTTTCAATTAATTCTTAATTATTTCATGGTCATTCTCCTCACAGAGATAAATTGATGAGTTATTCACCTGACAAAATATCATAATCTTAACATGTGACACAGTTGACGCACAAAAGGGAACAGTTCACTCCCTATTCACTTCATGGATTGTGGAGTAACACTGTGAATGAAAACTACAGCAAAATGAATCAGATTTTCAATACACAGAGAACTGTTTTATCCAATAGGATTCTTGGGATTTAAAAAAAAAAACCAAAACAAACTAAATCAACCCAACCAAACAAAAACACCCTAAAAAACTACCACCCATAAAAAGAAAAAAAAGAAATAAATTCAAAAGCAAGTAAGGGATCACTGCACAATCACTTTCCCGAAATGCACAGTTCAGGAAGACTTCTGTAATATTCACAGACTTTTTACTTGGCAAATCTCTGTCTTGCCCTCCTCATGCCTTGCACTTCCCTAGCAAGCAAATGCACAAATCTGTTATAGATCTAGTAAACAAATAAAATCTGGCAGGAAAGATTTTGATGTCTTATTTAACAAAACTTATTCCTCAACTTTCATTAAGGAGTTAAAATAGACACTTTAAAGTTCAGAGAGAGAAATAACGGAGTTCTTTTAATCCACTGACAAATGATAGCTCTTCACATTCCTTCCCCAAAACAAAGCTTGCACTCAGGCTGACAGGGAGGGATAATTCAATGACAAGGTGCTCAAAGAGGTCCCTCATCTGCCCTTGTCTGATCTACTCAAAGCAGGCTCAGTGATGGGGTCAGACCAGGCTGCTCAGGCTCTGTCCATTCATTTTTATGCAGTTGTACAAGTAAATATTAAAGTATGTTTCTTTCTCCCAGATCACTTACATTCTTTCTGCTTCTTGCTTCCTTAACATATACCTCTCAGAAACTTTTTTCACTCAATTTTCTCTCACACAGACTTCGTAACACCCACTCATTGAAACACCAGCCAGAACCAATGTGCCCAGAACTAATGGTAATTGTGCAAGCATAGAAGTTCATATTCATTCACTTTGAAAAAATTACACCTTAGTCAGTAATGTACTTTGAATTAGTAAGGTACTTGTAGAAATAACAGTACCTCAAGAGTCAGTTTATGATCCTGTGAAATTCAACACTTGGCTGAGACCAGATAGGACTGCAGCACAAAACCCATCAGCACAAAGGATTCTTGCTTTGGAAACATAAAAATTTAATGCATTCCAAGCATACATTTGGTTCTGGATGGATGTCCAGCCTTTTAGCTGAAATATGTGTCTATAAACAGTAACATGTTCATTTCTATCTGACTGGAATGCTTCCAGAAGAAATTAAGAATGACTGTTTTAAGAATAGCATTTGGATTTAGGCTGGCTCCAATAATGAGAATTCAGGATGCTTTAAAGCAAACAGTTATTAAACAATATGAACATGGCAGAAATAAAATCATTCAGAGCTCAAAGCCTGTATATTCATACCCTGCAAAATTAGTACTACATATAAATATTTAGGAGCACTTTTATCAAATTGTCTATGCCCTCAAACATTTTAATACATTTATTTAATATATATTTGTCCACCTTAGAATGTAACAGATACCTTCTTAATTTAACCTATTTTTTTCCTTCACCCTGGTACACTAAAAAAAGTAAACAAGCCAAAGCAATTGTGGCATATGCTTCGTTTGATACACGTGGGTGGAAAGGGAGAAATCAGATTGTGCCAACTGGAAAAGGACAGTACCAGCTGGGAAAGCAGCATTGCTCTCATGCTGATAAGGAAACAGCACCAAACAGAGGAAAGAGAATTACAGCTAAAGGTCAACCTCCCCTTCCTTTAGAAGATATTCAAAGAGTCTGTTTTGTCTCTGCTTTTAAGTATTCAGAATAAATTTAGAACTTTTTTTAGAAACACTGCAAAACATACTTATCTTCTAAACACTGCTAAAAGACTTTGTTCATCAATACTGCAACAAATCTAGGCATTTCATAAATAAACTAATTTTTATTCATAAGTAAAAAGCAACATTCAATTGTCACCTGTTTTGTCTTTCAATATTTTGTAGCTCCCTGTGGTCCCTTTTCAGGTGTTTGGTCAAAGATGTAAAGTATTCCTTCAACAAATTCTGGAAGGGCTGTTGTTTCTCTGGGCTAATTATCTCACTAGGAGGAAAGCTCAAGTTAAACTTCTCTGCAACAGTTTTTACCTTCCTTGGTACCAAACCAGCAATGTCATCTCCACAGTGCCGACAAAAGCTGATAACCACAGAAACATGAGTGTGGGATTCTCGATCAGCGTTAATAATATTTTTAAGCTGCTCATAGATTAAAGACAAACCTTCCTTGTCAGTGAAAATCCCAACTATTGTCAATTCTGCAATGAAACGCAGATCAGTTCTTAACTTGGTAATGTTGGGAGTCTTCTCTTCTTTCCTTGCTTCAAAATGTTTTTTCCAAGCCTGAAGTAACGAAGGAGCAAAATCAGCGTATCGCTGGTGAAAGAGGGAACACAAGTGCACAGCGCAGTTCACGTCTGATATTTTCAGTTTGGCCTCCACAATAGAAGCTACTGCTTCTGCAATGTATTTGCTTAAATTCAGGCTATTAAAGTCATGGGACAAGGAGTCCCTTTGTTGCTCTGTAATGGTTTTTAGCTTCTTAACAAAAGCCGTGTTCTTCTTCAGACTGGAGTCCAGTCTGCTGAAGAAGTTTTCCTCCGGACGACTCTCCGGTGCGTTCTGGTTTTTGTTGCGGAGCTCTTTTCTTGCCTGATGGCGTTCCCAAGCCTCCTGATGGAGCTGATGTGCTTCCTCCTTCTCCCTGTGCAACATAAAAATCATTTTTTATAAAAGTCATTTTTGTTATGGAGCCTTAATCTCAAAATATCAGTTCAAAGAAAAAAAGGTCACAGTTGGAAAACCTTCAGGAGCTCCAACACAAGATCACCTTACTCTCTGTAATATCTACTAAGCTAATCCTAGAAAGCTAAAGCATCTGCTTCAAAAACTGTTTAATTTTTGTGTTGCAAAGGGCAACTACTACTTGTTACAAAACAAAATTTCTCAAATATTTCTATGCAGAACATATTAATCCAAACAGACTTCAGAAATATAAACATGAAACTCCATTTACTACAGATGAAGTTCTCACAGAAGAGGAAACAACCTTTCAAAAGGTTACTGCATTACATATTTAAGGAAAATCTTTTATTGCCAGACCACTGAAATTACATAGAAAATTTGGAATAGGTGAAATATATCTGTACCAGACAGAATATGGCTATGACATTCCCTCAATCTTAAAAGTGAAATATTTCAGACCTATAAAGATGCCACCTTCAACACTGTACTATGGTTGGCTAACATAATAAGGAACGTGGTCTTGGTAATATCACATATTAAACTGTCAGGTTACATCCTGAGTTTGCCATCCAGGTATCAGTTGTCTGTGACTTATTAAAAGTCATTTCTCACATCAGATTTGCTCCTGTTATATACGGTCTGTAGACCTGTTAAGTCTGTATTCCCAAATTCTGGACAACACTACTTCATGTTAAATGCATCTGTGCTTCTTTATTGCTCTGCTTTGGGCTGGGACAGAATGAATTTTCTTCAGAGCATCCTGTATGGGGCTGTGCTTTGCATTTGTGCTGGAATTAGTGCTGATAACACAGGGGTGTTTTCACTATTGCTGGGATGGGCTCACACAGCGTCAAGGCCTTTTTTGCTCCACACCTCAGCCCACCAAGGAGGAGTCTGGGGACACACAAGGAATTGGGAGGGGACACAGCGAGGACAGCTGACCCCAGGGATATCCCAGTCCATATGACATCATGGCCAACACATAAATCTGGGGAAAGAAGGAAGAGGAAGGATGATAGGAGTGATGGTGCTTGTTTTCCCAAGTCACTGTCAACATTTGATGGAGCCCTGCTGTCCTGGGGATTCCTGTGGAAGTGGGGAATGAATTCCTTGCTCTGGTTTGCTTGCCTGCACAGCTTTTGCTTTACCCATTGAACTGTCTTTATGTCAACCCCTGAGATTTCTCACTTTTACTCTTCTGATTCTCTTCCTCATCCTGCTGAGGGGAGGGAGTGCCTGTGTGGGGCTGATGACAGCTGGGGTTATTTATTTAGCATGGTTGTGCTCTCCATGGTCATCACATGCAGAACACAATCAAACCCCCATAACAGAGACCAAGGTTACAAGTGAAAACTCAAAACCTCTTAGAAGTCAAAAGCACAATCAGACAGGCATGTAAAATTTATAACACTACATGCAACTTATTAAAAGTAAGTCCAACACTTCATCTTTTATAACTCTGACCACAATCTTGATAACAGAACTCCAGCATTTGGCCCAATTAAACCTTTAAAAGATAACTTACTTCAGTTGAGCAGCTTCTTCTTCTTGTTTCTTTTTTTCTTCCTCCTCTTGTTTCTTTTTCTCCTCTTCTTCAAGTTTCTTTTTTTCTTCTTCTTCTTTCTTCTTTTGCTCCTCCTCTGCCTTTACTTTATCCTCTTCTTTTTTCTTCCGCTCCTTGTCTTCCTTCTTTCTTTTATCCTCTTCCATTTTTTTCTTTTTATCTTCAGGAACCTTTAAAGTCTCTCTCTTCATACCAACCTTCACATCTTCTTTTGGCTTCTCCCTGGTGCTCACTGGTCGCCTTTCACTAAATTCTTTTTCTTTATTATTTAACTGAGATTCTTTTTCTTCCATATTTGCTGGCTTTTTGCGCTCAGCTGGCATTGTGTTACCCAGGCAGACCTGCAGAACCACAGGAAAACAAGTACTTTAAATTGCTGTTGGTATTTTAGTCATTTTTCACAGCCCACCCTATTCACTTAACTCACAAATACATGACTCATCAGAATAAAAGTTTACGTTTTCTTGAACTAAGGAATGCACCTGACAAGTAAAAACTAATCATTTTGAAAGCATGTTGTTCTGCAAAGTTGTCTTCAGCACAAATTGTGAAATAAAAGCATCTTGAAGTTTCTACAACCCAAAGAATTTAAGATCTTGAACATAAACAAGTCCATCTGAAAGAAAAATATTTCAAGACTGATGAAAACAAAGTACCCCAAACTTTTAAAAAGTACATGCTTGAAACACCAGCGTGCATCTGCACCTCACTGACTTTTCTACACATCTCCCAAGAATATTCCCCCTTCCACTACTTAGGATCATAGGATAATGCAGGTTAGATGGGACCTTGAGTAATCAATCCTCCTGCTCAAAGCAGGGTCAGCAATGAGTTCAGACAAGACTGCTCCAGCCCTGAGAAGTGTCAAGGAAAGAAACTGCACAACCCCTCTGGCCACCCTGCTCCAATGCTGGATTATCCTCGCTGTGAAAAGGCACCAGCCTGCTTCCTTCTTTCCTCCCCCTCCCCAGATGTCCCCAGAATCTCCAGCACTCAGCACAAGCAGCAGCTGAAGAGCGAGCAGGGCTGACTAAGCTGGATGCACAAACCTCCCTGCCAGCAGAGCAAACGGAAATAATATCAGAAAGGCTGCAATTACCAAGATTTATCAAAGGCTACAATTTCTCTCTCCTTCTACTCAACCAACATTTTTGTAAGAGCTTTAGCCTCTTTGGGGTTTTCAGCCCTCCAAGCTTTGGTTTCATTTGGCAAAGGACACAAAAGGTAACACATTGAACACAAAAGGGTAAAATCACAGGACAATTTTGATCAGGAGGAAACTGTGATGAGCACCTAGTTCAGGCCCCTGCTCCAAGCAGATCAGAGGTTTGGCTAAGGCTTTAGTGTCTCCAGGAACACAAAAGCAATGGTCCTCTCTGGGCACACAGAGAAAAAGTTTTTCCTGATACCAACTTGGAAATTGCCATGCCCCATACTGTGTTTCTTTTCATCCTATCCCTGCAGAGCTTGGGGGAGAAACCAGCTTCATATTCACTATGCTCTCCCATTAGGTTTTTCTAAGACAGTAATAAGATTTCCCCCTCTCTTTTTACAGATCAAGAACCCAGTTCTCTGTTTCTCTCTAGATACCATGTTCTCCAGCCTCCCTGTGATCTTGGTGATCTTCCAACAGACTTATTTCAGTGTTCCAATGCCTTTGTTGGGAACAGAGGACCCACACCTGGATGTGGTAAGTACTGAGCAGAGGGGAAGACTCACCTTGTTCAGCCTCATGGTTAACCCCTGGTGCCACAGCCCAGAGTGCAAGGGCATTCTGCTGACTCATGGCAGGGTCAGGTGGGCCAGGCAGGACCACAAGAGGCAATTACAACCACAAAGCTTTTACTTCAGGCTAAATTAATTTCTTAACACCAAAAACAATTTTCACACACTTACATGCTTCAAGTTAAATGCATGCCTAGGTGGGACTGATAGGACACCACTGCATGTGATGCACTTTGTTTTCATTAGTGACACCAGTTTGATTCCCAATGGCCACCCCTACTTTTGCCTTTCTAACATTTTACTTTGGATTATGAAAACATCCTAGATTCACCAATTCCCTGCATCTACTCAGAGTGGATAATGAGACACCTGCATTCCAGTCTAATGTAGAGTGCTTCTGGTATTAATTTCAACTATTCTGAAATATGTTTATAAATGAAACTTCACAATAAAGAAGACATGTTTCTTAAGAAGCATTGCACATTCCCTCTGCCATCTCCAAACAATAAAATGACATATTTATACATTTATCTATCCCAGCCAGATGAAACTGTATTACAATATTTAAGGTGCTCATCCAGAGCTTCTGAAGAAAAAATGGTCTGCAAAAATTGACAGTATCAGTGTTCACACCTGGGCAGTGACAATTTACCACTGGGGAACTTATTCCTGACTTGACCTCTGGCAGCAACTGGCAACAGCACCCACGGGGAAATGTCTCTGCCACTGACTTATGGAAATCAAATCAGCATTGCTTACACCAGCAGTAGCACATTTGGCTCCCTAATGCATGTCTACAACTATAAAATTTCAAATCTCAAGATCTCAGGAATTACTTGAATTCCAAAACCACTGACCTTAAAACAGTATTACTATGAAATCAATACTTAACCCAAGAGGGAAGGGGTTGCCTATGTTTAAAGAAATGCTGGAACGGCATGGCACAATTCCAATACTCTGAACAAAATATTCAGCTATAGAGGTAACTTTTAACAACAGGGTCATTTATCACAATCATTACAGTACTTGAGCTCTTACTAAATTTAGGAATTCAGAATTCTCTTTTAAAGAGGTATCTGCTGCTTTCTTGTATAAAAGCAAACCTGACAAGATGAGATAAAAAGAAAAGGGATGGAGCACAATTGGGCACGTGATGGTTCTGACCACAAGGCACTTTTTCCCAGTGAACACTGGAGTCCAAAAAACCCCAGCACAAGGCAGTATTATCCACTTTTTTCCAGTGAACACTGGAGTCCAAAAAACCCCAAAAATCTCGTTTTACAGTAGGATTCTGTTCTGGATCCCACAACAGGTGTGTTGCAATACTTCTCACTACCTACGACGTGTACAGCTCCTTATCTCCCAAACCTTTCCGATGGCTCTGCCAGCTCGTTTGCGCCGCCACCGAACGCCCGAGGGCAGCAGGGGCGGCGCTGCCGCTGCCTCCGAGCCACGGCCGGGCTGAGCCCGGAGCCCCCGACACAGGCAGAGTGGAAATGTCCCACAGGCAACTTCCCCAAAAGCTCTGGGAAGCAGGGAAAAAGGGAAACAGACGGCTGGCTCACCTGGGCCTCATTTCCATAGGAAACAAGGCTGAAGATGGCATGGAAACATTAGGAGAAATTTTATTCTGTTTAATATCTCACATTTACATTAATGTACTGATGAAAAGGTATAATAGTGATGTGAACTCCATAAGCCAACAGACAGGACAAACCAGCACTCACACCAGAAAATTAGGAAGGACAGAAAACAGAGACAAGACAAACATCCCTGTGCCTCTGGACTCCTGGCAGCCCATTTCTATAGTGGCATTTACATCTTTAACACTCCTTCTGCTCACTCCTAGTTTCAGCACCTACTGACAACATGTTTTTAGAGGCAACTATTTTTCCTAATTTTTCAATATTTGATGTACAGTGACTCATTTGCAGTTAAGTCAATTTTTACTGTACTTTTATTGCAAAGTTTCTACTTTTTTAAACAATAATCTTGGAATTTGAAAGAACAGAACTGGGTTCATGATACTCTGAGCTCAGAGACTTAAGAAATAGTTTTGAAATACAGAAGTAGTTTTTAATAAAAACCATCTGTTATTTACTCTTGAGGAAAGCAGAGAGTAACATAAGGTATTCAGCATCATGAATCTACTCACAATTCAGGATAAAAGAATAAACAGCAACACCTTGGCCATCAAAGTCAATAAAAACAGTCTACTCTCAAAGCCTGAAGTATGATCCAGAATCCCTATCCTTGCAAACACAAGTATGAGAGAAGGAAATACAGTTCTATTAACTAAACAGAATGCAAATTTTCACTAGAAATTAGATGGATTACATAAATAGTCCTGTCTGCAGTTACTCTATTACAAAAGAGATATGGGAGATAATGAATGCAGGCAAGACGTCCAACCTCTGACTGGCTGAAAAGTCTCAAAGAGCAACAAACTCCTCCATCACCAGTTATCACACCACTAGAAGGCTGTAAATTTCAAAAACTGAAATTCCATTAAGGGTCTCTTAAGGCAAGGGAAGGTACATAATAAAAATACTCAGGTCAGTGAGGAGAAAATAAACTTACAGGTTTTTGGAAAATGAGACACAGCACACAGGAAAAAAAAAGTAGTGCAGAGAGAGAGGAGTCCCCCCCACAGTGACAGGGAAGGTTCACAGAATCACAGAATATCCTGACTTGGAAAGCACCCACAAGGATCACCAAAGTCCAACTGCTGTCACTGCACAGGACACCCCGAGAGTCACACCGTGTACCTGAGGACATTTTCCAAACACTTCTGGAGTTCTGACAGGCTCGGTGCTCTGACCACTGCCCTGGGAGCCTGCTCCTGTGCCCAGCCACCCTCTGGGTGAAGAACCTTTGCCTGATATCCCACCTAAAGCCCCCTGACACAACTTCAGCCCACTGACACATCTTCTGGCCGGCCTGCCGAGCAGCCGGGCACTTTTACTTTCGCTTTATACCTCTCGGGGAGAACGTTTTGCTGCCAAAGTTGCAGGAAGGCGCTTTCCACCGTGGAACAGAGGCCTGCAGACAAGGCACTGAGTACAAAACGACTCCTTGGCTACCACCCCAATCCCTGCCCTCAGCCCTCCCGCAGCCCGGGCCCGCTCCCGGATGGGACCGGCAGCTCGGGACCGGCCGCTTCCGGTTCCATTCCGTTCCCTCTCCCAGAGCTCTGAGGCGCCGCCACCGAGCGTTCCCCACTCCGAGCCCCGCGGCTCCGGAACCCCCCTCCCCGTGCCCCCCCGCCAGGCCCTGTGCCCTCCTCCCCCCGTCCCCGAGACCCCTTCCCCACGCACGCCCCGGCACCGCCCTCCCGTCCCGTGGTGCCGCGGTACCTGTGCCCGGTGCCGACATGGGCCCGCCCGGCTCGGCCGCCGCCGCCGCCTCCTCCGCCCCTCCGAGGCCCCCGAGCGCTTCTCCCCTCACGGCGACCGGGCCGCCGCCGCGCTGCCTGACCCGCGGCGCTGCCCCGAGCCGCGGCTGCGGGCGGCGCGGAGCGGCGCTCCCCGAGGGGCGGGGGTTAGGCAGCGCGGAGGGCAGCCCCGCGCGGGGGCCTGGCGGCGGACGGGTTACCGGGAGTGCGGAGGCGGAAGGGGAAGAGGAACGGGAACGAGAACGGGAATGGAAGAGGAAAAGGGTTCGGCCCCGCGTCCCTCACGGCGGCGGGGAAGGGGGAAATAGCTTCCGAATGTCGCTTCCTTGGTGGCCTCAGCGCACGACTTATGGGGCCGCGTGACGTCACTGCGGTGACGTGTCCGCGCCCGCCAGGCGTCACGGCAGCCGCCGTGCCGCGGGTGGGGCCCGCCGGTGTCACCGTGATAAACATTGGGGTGACAACGTCTGAACGCCAAATTACTGCCTCGGGGTGGTTTCACCGGCGTCCATTACGGCTCCTCAGCACACGGGGACCGGGAGCTGCTGCGGAGGCTCCAGCGGAGCCCGGGGGTGAGGAGGCCTCTGGAGCTTCTGTCCTGTGGGGAGGCTGCGGGAGCTCGGCCTGGGCAGCCTGAGAGGAGAACACTGAGGGGGCATTTCAGGAATGCCAGGAAATGTCCCCAGGGCAGGTGCCAAGGGGTGCCTGGCTCATCTCAGAGGTGCTGAGTGACAGAGCAATGGCCATAAAATATAACATAACAAAGAGATTTCGCCTCCAGTGAGGAAGAACTTCTTTATGTTGAGGATGGCAATGGGACAGGCTGCTCTCAGGGGCTCCCTCTGGAGACACTCACAACCCACCTGGATGTGTTCCTGTGTCACCTGCTCCAGGTGACTGGATGGTCTCCAGAGGTGCCTTCCAAACCCACCCGTTCTGACTTTCTGTGATTCTGTCATTCTGTGATTCTGTCATTATTTTCTAGTCTAAATTTGGTCTCTCTGCCCTCCTGTCCAGTCACGGTCCCCGCCTGGGCATCTGAGGATATTTTACAGTGGTGAATTTAGTGAAACTCCTGGATTTGTTGGAAAGGCTCTCTGCCTGCAGTTCTGGGCACGGCATCACCTCTTGGGCAACTCTGGAGCTGCCTAAGCTGGGAAAAGCTGGCACAGCCCAGAGCTGCAGAGTGAGAATCTGGTGTTTATTTTACATTTTGGATCCAGGTTCTGACAGAAGCTTTTAGGTTGGGAAAGCCTTTACACCCCTCTGGGCTTGGAACAAGCCTTCAGCAATGTTGGACCTTGACAGCTGGCACAGGCCTGGGTGTACATAACGAGGTTTTTCAGCTGTTAAAGTTGCTTTTTGTTCAGAGGCAAGAGTCAGCCCCAACAGAAGACACTTTACAGATACAGAGCTTTAGGTGTGTGCTGCCAGCTGGTACAGGACTAGACAGGCTTTTTTTTTTATTTTCCAGGGAAGAGCTCTCCTCCCTGCTGTTTAACTTCATTGCTCATTTTGCAGACATATCTAAAAATCTTTCTGGACAAGGTTGAAAGGATGGAGTCGTGCTTGTTGTTGACACAGATCATGCACATGTCCCTGCTCACAAAGATCTCATTTGCTTGCCAAAATATCTTAAACTACCAAGCTAATTAAACTGATTCACTGGAGTGAGAAGATCCATGGCAGAACATAGTGAAAAGAGGGAGGGAAAATCCATATTAGTGTTGGCACTTTATTTTCCAGAGGCACAAAAAAGAGGGAGAGAAAATCCATGTTAGTGTTGGCACTTTATTTTCCAGAGGCACCAATCCTTTGGCCTGTCAGTGGGTGCCTTTGGATTACTCTTTTAGGGGGAATTGGGTTATACTTGGGTTAAGTATCAGTGGCATTACATCAAGAGATGTTGGCTTATTTTCTTCTGAAGCACAATGCTGCTGCCCTTTCCAACATGAACAAAAAGCACAATCACTACAGTTTTGAAAGAAATCAAAATCTCCTTTTGTGTTTATACCCCACTCCCACATCTACAATTATGTTGGAGCTCTCTCTTGTAAGGCCATGCAAGCAAACTTCAGAAAACTTTTCCTTCTAAAGTACCTGTTTCATTTGTGCACATATAATCCAGCTTTTGTACTGATTTACCAAAACCAGGCAGCTGTCATTTCCTGAATCTCACATATAAAGCATGTCTTTTTTAATTCCTGAAGCTCTTCTTCCCAATTTTTTTTATATATTTCCTCAATTACTGGCACCAAACATGCACACAGTATTTAAATTGTGCCAAATACTGGCCTAATGTAGAATCTGTAGGTGTCCTCTATATTTTCTTGCAGCCAAATCCAGCAAATTATCTGCTTTTCCAAGTGAGTGGATATTCACATAATTTTTTTAGACCCACCTGCTTTTTTCTCATGATTTTTGGAGATTATTTATAGCCACTGTTTCCTGGAGAGGAGCTACATTTTAGTGCACATACTCTTTGAACACGTGCAAGCTTTCACCTCATCCTGTTAAAATAAGTTGTGTTTGCTTATCTCCATCTTGACTCTCAGATTCAAGGTAACATCTCCTCACCACTTACCTCCAGCTGACAAACTTCATCAGCACTCAAGGTGGGGGCAGCTTTTTTGGGTTCATCTAACTACTAAAGTAGCAAGGGGAAGAATTCCTTTAGAAATATTCCCAGTGCTGCTGATTTTCTATGCTGCCAGGTAGTCAGACACTATTTAGTATGCACAGCCTTGTTTTTGGGCATTTCCCATATTTTTAGTGAGAGCATCATGTAGTACTGAATGAACCTCACATTGGAGCCTTCTCCAGGACAGGCTTTGTGCCAGAAGAGCCAGGCTGGGAGAGTCACGTTGCCTACGCCCTCAGCAGTGGTGTTTCTGCTGGCACAGGTACCACCTTCTCACATTTAGACATGAATCAAAGTCAACAAAGCCTTTCCTTGACCTAGATATAGCCACAGCAATGCTTTTGTCACATGGAATCACGTCCTACACAAGATGATTATGTTGGCAAATCTGTAAAGTGCTTTTTTTTTTTTTAATTCCTGAAGCTCTTCTTCCCATATTTTTTTATCTATTTCCTCAATTACTGGCACCAAACATGCACACAGTATTTAAATTGTGCCAAATACTGGCCTAATGTAGAATCTGTAGGTGTCCTCTATATTTTCTTGCAGCCAAATCCAGCAAATTATCTGCTTTTCCAAGTGAGTGGATATTCACATAATTTTTTTAGACCCACCTGCTTTTTTCTCATGATTTTTGGAGATTATTTATAGCCACTGTTTCCTGGAGAGGAGCTACATTTTAGTGCACATACTCTTTGAACACGTGCAAGCTTTCACCTCATCCTGTTAAAATAAGTTGTGTTTGCTTATCTCCATCTTGACTCTCAGATTCAAGGTGACATCTCCTCCTCACTTACCTCCAGCTGACAAACTTCATCAGCACTCAAGTGTGGGCAGCTTTTTTGGGTTCATCTAACTACTAAAGTAGCAAGGGGGAGAATTCCTTTAGAAATATTCCCAGTGCTGCTGATTTTCTATGCTGCCAGGTAGTCAGACACTATTTAGTATGCACAGCCTTGTTTTTGGGCATTTCCCATATTTTTAGTGAGAGCATCATGTAGTACTGAATGAACCTCACATTGGAGCCTTCTCCAGGACAGGCTTTGTGCCAGAAGAGCCAGGCTGGGAGAGTCACGTTGCCTACGCCCTCAGCAGTGGTGTTTCTGCTGGCACAGGTACCACCTTCTCACATTTAGACATGAATCAAAGTCAACAAAGCCTTTCCTTGACCTAGATATAGCCACAGCAATGCTTTTGTCACATGGAATCACGTCCTACACAAGATGATTATGTTGGCAAATCTGTAAAGTGCTTTAAATCTTTATTAACTGGATTTTGATTCACATAAAAACCCAACAAGTTGACTTGATGAGATATATATTTCATAAACACCTGCTTAGACTTTATTAAACTTCTATTAATAGAACTTATATATACAAATATTCAGCTAGTTCTCTGAGATCCACATTGTGTGTCTGAAACATCTCATTGGAGAAACTGGAAAATTTTTAATGCTCAAACCTATTCCTATCCGTGCTAATTGGGAAATATTCAACTAACTGCCTATATGATTCAAAGCAAAACCAGTGATATCTGCTGTTTGACTGGTGTTTGCTTAAGAACTGTGGAAAAGTATTTCATCATCCTGCAATCTGCCTGCAACATTTGTCTTTTTCCCCAAGCACGAAATATTTAACTACATCAAAGTTTTCTCCATCTCCACTGTCATCTTCAAAAAAATCACATAACCTTGCAGCATTACTTTTAAGGTTCCTTCATTCTAATTGAAAAAAATATGACTGTTCACAGCCACATTTCTACTACACTTCACTGTATGGACCACATGTCCACTGTCCTTCTGTCACTGCCCTCTTTGCAGCATTAAAGGTCATTTATTTTTATATTTTTCTCCCACATTGGGTTTTACAAATATGCATAAACCCAACCATGCAGGCCTTAAGGAACACAAGTGGCCCCTCTGCAAGAACTGTGAATATCATAAAATCCCAGACCAACTGGGGTGTTGGAACGGATTCACTTCTGAAATCCAGTCCCACCTGTTCCAAAGGCAAATACCATGGTTTGATTTGGACAAAAAATGCTCTTTGATTTCCTCATTGTGAAGGCTACAGGAACACAGCCAGGCCTACAGACAGGGAACTTGCCAGTACCCCAGACCTGCATTCACACGAAGTTTACAGAATCACAGAAAAGTTGAGATTGGAAGGGACATTTAAAGAATATCTTGTGCAGCCCCCTGCCACAGGCAGGGACACCTTCCACTATTCCAGAGATGATGAGAGGTCTATCCAACTTGTCCTTGGACACGTCCACAGGTGGGGCATCCACAGCTTCCCTTCACAGCCTCTTTGGTACCTTACCCCGCTCACAGCAAAGAACATCCTCCTAATACTCAATCTAAACCTACACTCTCTTGGTTTGAAGCCATTCCTCCTTGTCCTGTCACTAAATGCTCTTGTAAAAAATCCATCTCCATCTTTTCTTGCAGACTCCCTTCAGGTACTAGAAGGCTGCAATTAAGTCATGTGGAAGCCTTCTCTTCTGCAGGCTGAACAATCCCAACTCCCTCAGCTTTTCCTCATAGGAATGGTGCTCCACCTCTCTAATCGTCTTGGTGGCCTCGTCTGGATTTGCTCCAACAGAGCCATGTCCCTCGTGTGCTGAGGTCCCCAGAGCTGGATGCAGCACTGCAGGCAGGGTCTCACTGGTGTAGAGTTGGAAGGCACCTCTGGAGATCATCCAGCCCAACCCCGCTGCCAAGGCAGGGTCACCTGGAGCAGCTGATGCAGGAACACATCCAGGTGGGTTCTGAATGTCTCCACAGAAGGAGACTCACAACATCCGAGTGCCTGTCCCAGTGCTCTGCCACTCTCAACGAAAAGTTCTGCCTTGTGTTGAGGTGGAACTTCTTGGGTTTTATTTTACGGCCATTGCTCCTAGTCCTGATGCTGGGCACTACTGCAAAGAGTCTGGCACCAACTTCTTGGCATCCACCTTTGAGACATTTCTATGCATTTATGAAATCTCCTCCCAGTCTTCTGCACGCTGACCAGGCCGAGCTCCCGCAGTCTCCTCACAGAAGAGATGCTCCAGAGGCCTCCTCATCTCTGTGGCAGCTCCTTGTGTCCCTTGTGCTGAGGAGCCCAGAACTGGACACGGCACTCCACATTGCCTCGCTGGAGCCCGGAACATCATGTGCCTGCCCGTTCCTTTCGGCAGGGCCGGAGCCCTGAGGGGCCCCGCTGCAGACACCGCCCCCGGGGCTCGGGGCGGGTCCGGGGGCGGTGGCGGCGGCGGGGGCAGCGCGGCCATGGCCATGGCGGCCGCGGCGGGGGCTCGGGCCGTGAGCTCCGCGCTCTGCCGGGCCGGCCCCAGGCGCTGGTACCGCACCGAGCGTGGCGTCTACGGCTACAAACCGCGGAAGGCGGCGGGCGGGCGGGCGGAGGAGCAGCGCGGCGCCGGCAGAGCAGGTCGGACACCCCCGGGCAGAGGGAGCGCGGCGGGGGCTGCCCGGAGCGGGGCCCGGGCTCGGAGCTCTGAGGTGTGGCGTGTGTTGGTCCCGGCGGGGCAGAGCGCGGAGCAGCCGCTCCGAGAGCTCTCGGCCGTGGTTTCTGCAAGCCTGGGGTGCCTGGCTCCGCTCCACGGGCTGAAGCGGCTGCGAGAGCTCCGACTGCTGGAGTTTGCTCAGCGGTGGGCTCTCGGAGAGTTCTGCGGCTCATAGAAGTACCTTTGCCTGTCATTCTCCTTTTGTGCCATGGGGCTTGAGCTAGCCGAACTGAGGGTGGTGAGGCGCTGAACAGGCTGTCCAGGGAATTGTGGATGCCCCAATCCTGACGGTGTTCAAAACCAGATGGGATAAAACTTTGAGGAGCCTGCTTTAGTGGGAGGTGCTCCTGCCCATGGCAGGGGAGTTCGGACCTCATGGTCTGTAAAGTCCCTTCCAACCCGGTAACATTCTAGGATTCCATGATTAAGTACCCCTACTCTCTCCTGTATCAAAACTGTGTTGCTTTTAGCTCCGTTTTACATTGCAGAAAGGTGTTTTTAAGCAGAAAACTCTTCTAGGTAGGAGTGTGGTGCTTCCATTAACTTTACTCTGGCGACTGGTGGGAATTAAACCCTTTGTCCAGGAGCAGGAGTGAAACCAGTTTGTAGCTCCTGGACACCGAGGCCCATCACAAAGTAGCCTCCTTGTTAATGATTAACATATTTTTATGTAACATTTTAAAAATTGCGTTTAAACGGCCTCCTTGCTGAGGGCATTGTGGGCACTGTAAGCCTTATGTCTGGGTTATGTCCCTCTGTTGTACAACCCAGTAGAGAAAAGGGGCTGTTTTGAATGGGCTGACAAGTGTCAGAGAAATAACCTTCTGCTATGGTCTGAGAAGTGCATTGTTTTGGAAAACAAAAGCCTTCAGACCTGACTACTGTCAGTGCTGCGTTTTTACCGGGATAAAAAACCCTTCCACGTTAGGAATGCTTTATAAGCAGGTTCATGTCATTAATTTGTAGCAGGTTGTGCCTGCAGTATGTTTTATTGTTTGCAGTTTAGCAGCCTGGTCTGTGGCTGTGCTCCGTGACAATAACGTGTGTGTGACCTCTCAGCCGGTCAAGTTCTGCCCATTTCGATAATTTTTACCACATTTGGCTCAGCACATGTTCTTGGCTACTGCAGACAGACTTTGGTTTTTTTGAAGTCATGGGACCTGAATTATTGTTAAGACCCAATCCTCCTGTCATTAAAGCAAGAAACAAGGAAGCATAAGTGATAGGATTGAGTTGGCTTAGGAAATAAGACTATACACTGGTAATGTGCTGATCTTGACTTGAACATATCTGTTTGTAGTGATTTTGGTTCACTGTTGTAGAGAGATTTGAAGCAAAAATGAAGTAGCTTTCCATATTTTTACAGGAGCCTAACCTATGAGGGGAACTGTGGGGAAATCTTGAGTGTACTTGCTTGAAAATCGCTTTGGGGAGCAGATTTAGCAGTTTGCTGGTGGGAGCTGTTGTGGGGTAATAAGGTAGAAATAACTGCATAGAAAAGTTCTCTTTCCAGCCAGAACCTTGATGGTTGCCAGCAGACAAAACATTCCTGTGTTGGTGCTCTAAGTGTATTTAATCTAAGCACATGTGTGATACTGTTCTGCTTTCTTTTTGGTTTTAGTTGACCATGCTCTTGCTCGTTTAATAACTGCCTATGCTGAACATGGCCACAAAGCAGCCAAAATAAACCCACTGTTTGCTGGCCGAGCTGTTATGAGCATGGTACCTGAAATCCAAGAGCTGGCTGAAGTTCTTCAGGGTCCTCTCGTTACTACAGGTGAGTCCACAGCCTTATCACAGCAAATTCTGTTCATGGCCAATTTACTGAGGGGCTGTGGCCTCTGTGGAAGATCAGATATTGAGTGTGGCTCAATCACTGATGGAAACTGTTGGACAGAAAATTGTCAACTTCAGCATACATACGTCTGTTGCAGAAATCATACTGCAGTGAGAGGCTGCTGTCTAGCATCTTCAGAAATCATGAACATTTGTGCTTGTTCTTACAGCTATTGAGGTTAAACATTGATTTTTTGTGTTACTGTAACATTCTATGATTTACCACAATACTTAACACTGTGGTGAAGGTTTGAAAATACAGGGGCAGAAGTCAAGAATTGTCTTTTCTTGTCTCTCTTAGAGCCTTGATGCAGCCTTAAACAAAGGAAGGGGGGGGTCTTTCTCATTGCTTTATTTTCTCCAAAACAGATCTTCGTGCTTCCCCTCCTCCCCCAAAGTGACTAAATAACATTTATTTCCCACCAGGACTTATAAACATGGGGAAAGAGGAGGCTTCTGTAGAGGATGTGATGGCTTACCTTGACCATATATACTGCGGGCATATTTCCATAGAAACAAGCCAGCTTCCAACTTTGGAGGAGAGAGAATGGTTTGCTAAAAGGTTTGAAGAGCTAAAGCAAGAAGCATTTACACCTGAAGAGAAAAAGCACTTGTGCAAACTAATGCTGGAGTCCCAGGTACTTTGTTCTCTGTTACTGGATTGTAATAGTCATGGAGTCTATCATGCATCCTTTACTATTCTGGACACAATTCATGCAGAAAAAGAACAATCACTGTCCTGAAAGGCTTTGACAGTGTGCAGGAGGAAGAAGTACAAGGCTTTGCCTGAAGCAGTGCAATGCAGGAATCTCATTGGAGTTTGTTGCTGAATTAACTTATCAGCCATTACTGAAATAATGATGCTATAAACCCATGAATGATCAGTCTTCAAAAGTGATACACTCTTAGATTAATGATCTGACAGCTCATATTGAATGTTACTGATGGGACCACAAGGTTGAACAGAGCTCTGTGAAATCTTGTGCTCTAGCTTAGCTGTTCTGTGTTTTCCTCTCACCCTCATGCTGATCTGTTTTACTGTCCTTAAAATATGCTGTCCCTCAAGGTTTTAGAAGAACAAATCAGAGTTGGACTGAGTTGCTATCATATAGCACTGGTGCTTTTCAGCAAGGAACCTTTGTTCAATGCCTTCTATAAGGAAGTGAAATATTTATGCACTTTTGAAATGTATAGAGAAAATTTATTCCTATACTTCTGTAGTGTGAAAAGTTTTAATTTTTTCCCCTTTTCTTCCCATGTTATCCAGAATGATTGAAAGGTAGAAGAGCAGGATCTGTGAAGGTTGGAAAGGTAGAAGAGCAGGATCTGTGAAAGTGTCCCTGTTTCCAGTTTTCCAAGTGGAAGGAGTGTTAAATGTAATATTTACCAATGACTGAATGGAAGTATATAGCCCACTTTGTATTTTTTGTAGCCTCTTTGGCAGCTAGAGGAATTTGATGGTGACACAGGAGGGTGATATTGGGACCCTGATGTACTCTACTTTAATTTCAGTATGACCACAAGTATATTAAGAGTATATAAATTAACCCTGACAGAAAAAAACCTGCCGTTATATGTGACCAGTTTTGTATACATTATTCCTTAGAACTGAATATTGCTCAACAAGCAGTTGGCTCAGATCTTTGGGTGTGACTTAGTCTTCCCTTCTCAGTTACAGACTTTTTTTAGTTTCTGTCTTCAGTTGCAAAAACAAAAGAAATGTCCAGTGCTTCCAAAACTTGGTCACTTATTAGAGCTTTCTAGGAGGTGAATGGAGTGAAGTGAGAAGAAAATGAAGTAAATACAGATTCATTTATTTTTCTTCTCCCAAGCATTCTACCTACATAATAAGGACTGGGCCTAAAGTAAATCAAAATGAATCTCTGCTTCGCTAGCACTTTGTATCTCAGGATCATTACGGTATATATTGTAAAAAGAACATTCCTAAATTTCCACCTAAAACAGGTAAACTACCAAGGAATTTGTAAATTAATCTGGTGTTAGAATTCTTGAAGCACTTTCCATGTGAGACAGAGAAAGTTTGGTCCTCAATGCAACATTTTTCTGCTTAGAGCTGATTTTTTATGGTCATCATAGCTTCTGGTCTCAGACTGTGTGGGTGGAGAGCGAGCTGAGACTTTCCAGGGGTATGTTTAGATTTGTATGCCTCAAGGGTATAAACATAAATTGTATTTCAATTTTATAAACAGAAGGCTGCTGCTTAAAATAGCCTAATGCTGAAGTTGTCCTGTTTTTAACAGGAGTTTGATCACTTCTTGGCCACCAAGTTTGCCACGGTGAAGCGATACGGTGGTGAGGGAGCAGAGAGCATGATGGGTTTCTTCCACGAGCTGTTCAAGATGTGCGCGTACAGCGGGGTCACGGATATCATCATTGGAATGCCCCACAGGGGGAGGCTGAACTTGCTTGCAGGCTTACTCCAGCTTCCTCCTGAGGTAGGTGTCTTGGTTTGAAAAGACAGGTGTCTGCTAAGGAAGGCAAAAGCCTCTCTTGAAATGGAAAATGTAAACCCTCTCCCTCTGAATTATTACAATTTTGAAATTAAGGGGCTCTCAGGCAAAGATATGGGAGCAGGAATAACGGTTCTTTACTAGGAAAATTAAAAATAAAAATGCAGTAATACAAAACAAAACCACTGACAGAGTCAAAATAGGATCTGACACCCTCTGGGTCAGGGTGTTGGTAGCAGTCCCATTAAATGGTGGCTGGAGTCGTCTTGGAGTGACAAATGTTGTTCTGTTGAAGCAGTGATCCTGTAGAAGGGTGGAGTTTTCCTCTGAAGGGTCAGTGGTGGTGTAGATGGGCCTGGTATTCCTCTGGGAATCCAGTGGAGAAGAAAGCTGCTCTTCTGGGTATACAGTGGGAACAGGCTGCCTGTGTTGTTCCAAATCTCAGATTATATCCAGGTAGGAATGCTTTACTCCTCCCCCTGGGTGGAGCATCTCCTAAGGGGATGATGGAATTTTATCAGCCATGGAACGTCCCATTAACAGCAGATATCTCCTGGAGGGAGGATTGATTGTGGAAGAGATAAAGAAAACTGCCCCACCTGTTTTTAACAGACAGCCCAATTAACAGAAGATAGCTGCCCCACCTCTAACAGATGCCAATAGAATACACATGTCTAGCTACATCTTGCAACCTAAGACAGTAAGAGATTTGTAACTTCACAGTCAGTTGCCTGGTTTATTTGCAGTAAAATAAACCCCCAAAAGTTTGCCATGTTGTGAATGCTGGAGCAATAAAATGTTACCTGTGTGAGAGTGTTCTCCCTTCCTATCAACATTCAGTGAACTGTCTGCAGAAAACTGTTAAAAGAACTCTAATGAATGGTTTTATGTTCTGCTACTTTGAAGCATCATTGCAATTTCAGGAGTAGGAGAGAGTTTTTCTTTCAATTTGTCAGTGAATCAGAAAAGAGTTTTAACCAAATCTGTTTCCCTGCAGCTCATGTTCCGCAAGATGCGTGGTTTGAGCGAGTTTCCAGAGAATTCAGCAGCCATTGGGGATGTTCTCTCCCACCTGACATCTTCTGTAGATCTGGACTTCGGCTCCCACAGACCTGTGCATGTCACCTTGCTCCCCAACCCCTCACACTTAGAAGCCATCAACCCAGTGGCTGTGGGCAAGACCCGAGCCAGGCAACAGACCCTGCTCGATGGCGATTACTCCCCAGAGAGCTCTGCACAGCCTGGGGACAAAGTTATTTGCCTGCAGGTATTTTGCTCAGCTATTGTAATTTATATTTGTAAGACTTGCTGGACTAGAATGTGAACAGGAGTGTACATAGAAATATCAAACAAAACTGAGTTAATGTATGATGCCAAGAGCTGGGATCTTCTTTATGGAGAAAGAGGAGTGCTAGGAAGATCTCCAGGTGGCATTTGTGATGATGCTGGCATTTAAATAATTGCACTTCTAAGATTTCTGAATGCTGATTCTGATACCTCCCTTTATTTTAATAATATTCTGTATTGAGAGCCATGTGTGCCTTTCCTCAATTTTGCATTTAAAGTGCCACTGGAAGCTTTCCTTCAAATTAATGGGTTTGGAGAAGAGCTGTCAACAAGGCTGCAAAATGTTCAGGAGGATTTAGAATTTTGTCATTTTGTCATGGTACTGTTGAAGACTCTGCTGGAATTAGTTTTTACTCCTTGAACTGACTTGTATAGCTGTAGAAGCAATCCTAAACAGTTCCTTGATAAATTTTCTTGTCTTGCTTTGACTTGAACTTGGAAAAACAACTGAATTGAACTCTTAACATTTTAAGGCTAGGAGTAAAAACAAGTTGGGCACAAGTGTTCTGTAAAGTACAACAGACATGGAGGAAGTTACATGTAGGAGGGAAAATGTATTTCAGTTAAAAAAATATTTTGTTTTCTTCTGGAAGGGTGGGATATTGTGAAAAAGCAGTCACGAGAATACAAAATATTCTGGGCAAGTTTGGGTTCTTAGTTTTTTATTAAAAGAAAGTCTTTGGAGCTTACAAGTGCAGCCAACTTCTGCTTCCCAATATCTCTCCATCTTTCAATGCAGTTATTTCTTAGTTTGAGAAGATCCTATTGTTTCTTTCTCATAATGGTAAATCTTCAGCATGTAGTAATGAAAGTACTATGACTCTAAACAACAATTCTTCAGGATAAATGGACCCTCCCTATCCAAGAAAATTTCACTTAGGATTTGTGGGGATAAGTGACAGGGAGGACTGCGTAGCAGAGAAGAGATACATTTGATTCCATATCAGTCAGCTGATTCAAAGTATTCCTAAAAGGAAGAAAACGTATCATCATTACTTGTGATTGTGTCTTTAAGAGGTACACAAGTGAGATTGGAAACAGGTAAATTTTTGATTCCAACTGTTAACTGCTTTCATTCAACTAATTGAGAAGAAAGAGATGAAAGCAGGCACCTTGTGTTTCAGAATCTTGGTTTGGGAGTTTGACTTTGAACTTTCTGGTTTTACAGTGTTTCTCTTGAGACACTCTGAACTCTGAAGTTGAGACACTCTGAACTCTGAATTGAGGTTTATACTGGCATTTTTTCTCTTCTTCCACAAGCCTCAGTATCAGAGCTTGAGGGGAGGATGACTAAAGATCAGTTAAGTTGCCATTGTCGGTGGTGAGCTTCATTTTCCAGGGTCTGAAGGTCTTCTTTCAGCTTTTTGCTGATGTAGCCCAGAGAAAAATGTGCCCTAGCAAAGACTGTTTCCATATTTTTGGTAGAATGAGTAAAATCCTACCTGCACCACAGGAATTGAATACTCTGGGGATTGAGATGCATATGAACAGTCTTGTGTAGGTGGATAGTCACACCGTCTTTAGGCTTTAATGCTTTGGGATGTGCTAAAGGCCATAAAGTTTTCTCAGATGTTTTAGGGTCTTCACTCAAATGCTATCACTGAGATATGTAGCCTTCTTAGGCAGCAGAAGAAGCCAGGAGGGAAAGGTGAAAACCCAACACTTAGGAACAAGTGTAGCATGGTAAGGGATAGAGTGGGGATGCTGGCTTGTCTCTCTTGCAGTAGTTACCTTTGTTTGGCTGTGATACCTCTTAAAAATCTGTATGGGAATACCCAGTGCTGCCATTTCACTGGTGATTGCACCTCTGTCATCTTGGTGTACTGACAGAAGTCTCTTAAGGCTTGCAACCACTATTCCATAACTAGAAAGCAGAACTGTCATCTGGTTTCAATAAGGAAGTACATCAATCTGCATAGTGACTTTAATCTGCAAATGACTGAGTCTGCATTCTGAGGAAACTGTCATCATATTCATCAAAAGAGAACTGTCTCCAATTTCAAAACATTGAAATGTTAGATGATTCTCACTCCAGTACCTCTAGCCTTTGTTGGAAACCTGGGTTGGCTATCACAGTATGTTCCCTTCCCCTTCCAGACTGTTTTTTTATTTGCAGTATTTATTTGCTATTGCTATTTAGAAATGTAACTAAGAATTTAGGTTTTATTTCCTTTTGGCAGTTTTTGGTTTGGAGTACTTCCGTTCAGTTAATTTTCCACTTTTTTTCTGTTCTTGTCTGTTTGGTAAGGTGGAAATGGGCCTAAGTCCCTGTTCACCAACATTCAGCTTCAGCAAAGGTGTGGTGAATGCTGTGCTGAGTGGCTCCCTTCATTCAGGGCTTGCCTCTGACTGCTGCACCTTTGCCATAGCCAGGAAGCTTGCAGGCACCTGGACACTGGTGGGTCAGTTTTAGGAGATTATAGGTCAGTTCCAGGTAGGAATTACATCAGGCATTCATGTACATATGTTGGCTGCTGTGACCTTGTGTTAGTGATACGGCTGCATAAACTCTCAAGTCATGGAAACAGTATTCTGAGAGGGATTAAGAAGTGGGTCCAGCTGGAAGTGTGTCTGTTCCATGTACCCAGTTTAGGAGGTCTTACTTAATGAGTGATGGTTTTGATTTTGCTGTTCCTCCAGTGTTTCCTAATGAGACTTTTCCATCTTCTTCCCTGATGTAGGTTCATGGCGATGCTGCTTTCTCTGGGCAAGGAATTGTTCCTGAAACATTGACCCTCTCTAATCTACCACATTTCAGAGTTGGTGGGAGCATCCATTTGATTGTTAATAACCAGCTGGGCTACACCACTCCTCCAGAGCGAGGAAGGTCATCCCTGTACTGCAGTGACATTGGTAGGTAGGGTTGAATCACAAGGAAGATTGCCTATTGTGTCACACAGGATTTTTAACTGCAGTGTAAACTTTGCAATGGACTTTTTATAGCAACTGCCTGTCAGCTCTGGGGAGAGATTATTGTAACTCCAGTTTCATGGTAGAGTAGGAATTAAAATTATTATTATTATTATTCTCTCCTACTAGCAACAATTCAGATCTAAAAATATGCCCTCCCCTATCTGCTTTATGGCAAAGACTAAATAGCAAGGGAAAATCTTGTCACATTTTTACAGGATGTGATAAAATAATTGCAAGATTTGATTTCTGTCAAGTCTTTATAACTCAGTTTCTGTCATATCATTGACAGCTTTTAGAATGGAGTATATATTTTAATATGGAGATTTATTTTAAATATATCTTGTTAAATTTCGTAAAAATCATCTGTGTGTTTTATGAGCAAGATTTTTACGTCAGATACTCCTCCATTTTTTCTGTTTTGTTTGTTGTCATGTGAGCCTATTGAGCTTTCAGTTTAAAGATGAAGCTCAAGACCTTTCTATGCCTGAACTAGAAGCTTTGTTTTGGGCTGATCTTTCTTAGTGATAAACAGATGTATTACCAGTAAGATCAGAGACATAGTAGTTAGTTATCTTGTGTATGTCTCCTGTAAGTAAAAATATACTTTTGTATGCTTTTGACCTAACATCAAGTGTTTGTCATATGGCTTCATCAAACCAAACAAGTAGGTTCATTAAATCTGGTAAGGTAGATAGCATATGTTATTATTGTTTTCCCTGGGCTGGTTTTGTGTTATGGATTGTTTTTGTTTAGGTTGGTTTTTTGCCTCCATCCTTAGTTTTCCTTTCTTCTTACTTGTCAGTGAGGAGGGGCTGTTATGTAGCTGAGCTTTAGTATTTTGTGAGGGAGGAAAACTTGGCATGAGCCAGGAATGGCTGAAGTATCTTAATTTCCAGAATTTGGACAGATAAAGTACAAAAGGATCACTGTTGCTTGCAGTCAAATTGTCATACAGGAGAGGGTGTTAAGATATTGAAATTTTACAGTGTTCTCTTTAATGAAGAGATTTTTCTGCCTGGAGGAGCAGTGGACAGAATGATACTCCTTCCTAATAAGGGAGAAAGTTGCTTTTGGCTTGTATGAATTCATAGTAGTGATAGCTTAGGATAAGAAGGAAGTAAAATTCAATTTCTGTTTGAAAGAGAAGCAATCAAGTAGTTCTCTCCACGTTCCTGTACACTACCAGATTAATATGATGCAGGAACTGTGTGTAGAAAGTCCTCTGGGAACAAAATGCTCGTAAAGAAGTTGTGCTCAAACTGACAAATACAACAGGTTGGGCGAATTGCATGTTCTCTCAGGCAAGACTCCTCTCCCTGCTGCAGCTCTCATCACAAAGAACATATTTTTTAAATTTCTTTTTAATATACCTGTTCACATGGGTTGTCTGTAGTTTCAGCAGAGCAGGTGTGTGTCTGCTTCCTTTGGAAGGGGTTGGGTGTGATTGCAGCTGTGTTTTGAATCCCTGGGCAGGTAAAATCGTTGGATGTGCAGTTATCCATGTGAACGGGGATGATCCTGAGGAAGTTGTCCGTGCCACACGACTGGCTGTGGAGTACCAGCGCCAGTTCCGCAGGGACGTCATCGTGGACTTGCTGTGCTACAGGCAGTGGGGCCACAATGAGCTTGATGAGCCCTTCTTCACCAACCCCAGCATGTACAAAATCATCAGGTAAGGCTTGCACCACCAAAATATGTCTGCACCACCTTAAGTCTTACTGCTGCAACAGAAGTCTCTGTGTGAGATCCTTTGATGTATCCACAGGTCTTCATGTAAGGTGCAGCTGGACTGTCAGCAGCCCTTGACTACAGTGTGAGTCTGATAATGAGATGTTAATGAGCAATCATTACTGTTGGTTCTTGAATGTGTGTCTTGGTGCTTTTTGGAGAACAATCTTGGACATAGCTCTTGGATTTCAAATTTGTGACCACTGGTAATCAGAGGGCAAAGTTGCCTTCTGTGTGCCAAGGGGAAGCGTGCATGCAGTGGGAGAGTGGGCAGGAAGCCAGTGTGATGCTTGTCTTGTCTTTGCCTCATCCTGCTGCTTCCAGTGCGGACTCATCTCTATCAGCATTTAAATGTATTCAGATTCCATCCTTATCCCCAAAGAAAAACAAACAAAAATTCAGTTGCCAGTGAATTCTGGTATTTTAGGTGAAGCATTTATGGAATGGTTGCCTTGATTCTCTCCAATGCAGAAATCCTACTGTGAATTTCTCTGAAGAAAATATGCATGGTAGCACAGAGGGGGTGTGGTAGTTTCTGGGGTCCCCGTTGAAGGAAGGAAATTGATGAATCTGACTCCATGTTCTTAGAAGGTTAATTTATTATTTTATGACGTTATATTATATTAAAGAATGCTATACTAAAATATAGATAGAGATAGAAATAGAGAAAGGATATAGACAGAAGGCTACCAAGAATACTAATGAAAACCCATGACTCTCTCTTCCAGAATCCATAATTGGCCAACAAGTAAAAACAATTCACATGCAAACAATGAAACATGCACCTGTCAGTAAACAATCTCCAACAAACATTCCAAAGCAGCAAAACAAAGGAGAAGCAAATAAGATAATTATTGTTTACATTTTTCTCTGAGCTTCCCAGGAGAAGAAATCCTGGGCAAATAAATTTTTCAGAAAATATGACAATGACAAGGGGATTTAGACTTGTTTTTACCTGTAACTGCCAACTATAGCACTTTCACTTTTTAAATCAAGGACTATAAAACAAATCAAAGAACTATTATCTTTTTGAAAATGCCAGGAAATGGAACTTCATGCAAATAAGTATAATGCACCGGGACACCATTTATATGAGTTTTCTATGGTGCCTGACTGCAGTAAGGTGGTATTTGTTCTCCTGTGACACTGGTTTCAGGTTTAGTGTCTGTGGTTTGATTCCCTCCCTGCAGATCCCGTAAGAGCATCCCGGACACGTACGCAGAACAGCTCACGGCTGCTGGGCTCATGACTGAGGCTGAAGTGTCTGAGATAAAGACCACGTGCTATTCCAAGCTGAACGATCACCTTGCCAACGTGAGTTCGTACAGCCCACCCCCCACCAACCTGCAGGCTCACTGGAAAGGCTTCGTGGAGCCTTCTGCCACCATCAGCACCTGGGACACGGGCATGCCCGTGCCTCTGCTGCAGTTCATTGGAGCCAAGTCTGTGGAGGTGCCCCAAGAGCTGCAGATGCACAGCCATCTCCTGAAGACCTATGCTCAGGTGAGTAGAGCATCATGATACTGCAGATCCCATGGCTCAAACCTGTTACAGGAAGAAGTCTAAACACAGCAGGATTGCCAGTTAGAGAATAGCATGGTATTGTCTAGGAAAAACAGCTCACTCTGCTTCAAGGCTGAGATGATGCCATTTTTCCTCCAGTTTTGAAGAAAGACTTCTTCACCCAGGTCTGACCATGTACTTTAGTTTGTTATTTCAACAATATTCTATTGCAATGAAGAAAAAAGCTTATAGAAAACACAGTTTATTATTCTTACAAATAGAAAGAAATTATTGTGGTAAGTTACTAACATTTATATAGTTGGTAATTAGAACGAGTACTTGGTAAAGGAATGACTCAGGAACCTGGCAATAGTGTACAAATAGTGTACACAGGTTCCAAAGCCAGTAGTGAGTGTTTTATAACTTTTATATATATATATATAAACACTACACAACATGTGGCCTAGTTTGGCAGTCTGGGTTTGATAGCTCCTAAGTTGATGTTTGGTTTGGATCAGTTTGGGGTTTGTGAACATTTTCCTTTGATGGATGATGAGTGTGTGCAGGTGTCTGCCTGGCAGCCAGAGAGAGGCTGTGAGTTGAGTATTTCAAAAGACTGATGTTTTTGTCTTCCCAGCCCAAGGCAAGAACTGCACAGCTCAGTTTGATCATTTGTCTGCAGTTCTGCAGGCCAGAACAGGGAAGAGTTCTGGAGACTGAAATACTTACACCTGGTATCTTTCATCACTGCTAACCAGACAGACCAGCAGTCTGTCAAGATTACACTCTGTGCTGTTCTAAGATTTTTTAATATTTTCTGAGTAGGATTAATTAATCCACAGTTTGTTGACTGGAAGGTGAACACATGGTTCACCATAGGATCTACCTATGGTTCTGTGGTCCTTCTTTAGGATGTTATGAAATAAGACTCTATTCTAATGCAGCCTAAGCTGGCTGCAGGAATAAAGCATTTCCCTCTGTAGTGTGTTGCTTTTTTTCTTAGCTTCTAATATTAGTCTGTGCCACCAAAAAAGCTACAGATGGAAAAAGACAAAATAGTAATTTTTTTCTTCTTCTTTATTTGCTTAGTCAAGAATTCAAAAAATGGAGGAAGGAAAAAAGCTGGACTGGGCAACAGCTGAAGCTTTAGCATTTGGTTCTCTGCTGAGCCAAGGTAAGAGGCAACTAGACAGCAGACAGTAAAATATTTTTGCTTTATTGTCAGTAATTTTGTCTTTAATGTCAATAATAATCTAATGTCAAACATTAGATTTCTTAGGTATTTCTAAGTAAAAATGGCTGTGATTTATAAATTTGACAATTTGCATGGTCTAAGAGAAGATAAATATGAATCCTATGTGTCACTAATATTTGTAGACTAAGTCTTAAATATCTTCAAAGAACTGTAGCTTCCTCTCACTCCCCAAAAACATTTGTGCATAGAGCTGAGCACAAGCAGTGCAGCTGACATCAGTGTGGCTCCCAAGTACTTTGTGTGCTTTATGCTACAATTTCTTCTCCCTCCTCTCTAGCCTGAATTCAAATATCTATTTACATATGATACAGAATGCACATTTTTTTGCAGTTTGCTTCAGTAAATTGAACCATTTCACCCAAAATAATGTCAGAGCATCTGTGTGCTTGACAGTTGGAGCTGTTGCTGGTTCAGAATTGCATCTCAGATTTGATGTTGCTGATGAGGGGAAATCCAGAAAGAGATATAACAAGAGATAGAATTATGTCCTGCATGTTTTCTTTTTACATAACTTGCTGATCTGGTGTTGTGTTTATTGCTTGGCAAGGGTTTAATATCAGACTAAGTGGACAAGATGTTGGCAGAGGAACCTTCAGCCAACGGCACGCGATGTTGGTTTGCCAAGAGACAGATGACACCTACATTCCTCTGAATCACATGTCCCCAGACCAGAAGGGTTTCCTAGAGGTAGGTTCTGTAGCCCACAAGACCACCTTCCTCAAATTGTGCTGAAACAATGCATTTTTTAAAGCTGCTGAGACATATGTAGGCCTAGTGTATGTTCTGGCAAAACCCAGATACAGGGACATAAAAATTGTCAGGGCATCCCTATTCTTTGTCATTATAAATTACAACTTTAACAAGGGGGTTTGCTTTTCCTTGAGAGAGCAAATGTTATTCTTTTCTCTCAGTGCCTTTATTCAGAAGCAAAAAATCAGTGCCTATCAATTGCCTTTAGGAGTGTGTGTCCTCAGCACTGATTGCCTGGTTCCAATGCTTCTTAGCCCTTGATTGTCTTCTTCCTCACCCACCCCTCCCAACAATTTCCTTTTGTTAGGTGAGTAACAGCCCCTTGTCTGAAGAAGCTGTGCTTGGTTTTGAATATGGAATGAGTATTGAGAGCCCTAAGTTACTGCCAATTTGGGAAGCTCAGTTTGGAGACTTCTTTAATGGAGCCCAGATAATATTTGACACTTTCATCTCTGGAGGTAAGTGTACAAGGAACTAATATATTTAAGAATTAATCATTTGTATTATACACATTTTTAGAAAATCCTTCCTCTTTCAAGTAAAAGGGCAACATGTTGTGCAAAGAATTCTGTTTTCTCAAGGAGTCCTGTGAGCTTGCCTGTGAGGTCCTGATTTCTGTGCAGCTTTTCTCTAAAGACAGTACATCTAAAATGAAAGACTCCTTGGCAGAGTACAGTCACTACAGAAGGGCAATTAATTATACTAACAGCCTTTCTTCCCCTACATGTATTTTAGTCTGTGTATATATGGTTGGTAGCTTTATAGGCTGTACCTTTCCTTTGTGAAGCATCTGAAAAATTCCAGAAGCAATAGAGAAGGAAAATAGCAATTATTTAAAAGAAACAAACAAAAAAACCCCACAACACCTTACTAAGTTTGATTCTAACATGTTTTCTGAGTGCTCAGATATAAAACCTCTGTAGTCATAGATGGAAATTCAGAGGCCCTCTTATCCCACCCAAATTCTGGATTTGATTGTAATCTCTTGTATAGTGCAGGAGGTTTGGCAGAGCTCAGGGGAACAAACACTGCTGTGTTAAACAGGACTGGCTCACAGGATGCTGCTGGGATCACATTTGCAGAGATGAAGCTTTAAAATTTCAGTGTGTCATGTGCTCTTTGTGGAGACTTAAATCTTCTGGGAGCCCAGAGCTACCTGATGATTTCAGAAACTTCAGATCACCTTACATGTGTTATTTCACTGTAAAGAACCTCAGGGCAAAATGCCAGCAGCATGTTTCAGGCTTGTATTTAATTACGTGGATATTGGTTATTCTTTTTCCTGAGCAGTTTGTGCAAAGTAATGTGTTCTGTGGCTTTATGTTCTGTGGAAATCATCCTTTGCTTCCTCCTCATTCTGTGTTTCTAGGTGAGGCTAAATGGCTTCTGCAGAGTGGGATAGTAATTCTTCTTCCCCATGGCTATGATGGTGCAGGCCCCGAGCACTCGTCCTGCCGGATGGAACGGTTCCTCCAGGTACATCACACCTCCCAGGGTCAGCATCCCCAGCACAGCCCTGGCAGGCAGTGCTCTGGGAGCTGGCCTGCAATGTCCTCCAAGGAGGCAATTCAGGCACAATCTTACCAGTTAAATGCTAAACCCATTTCATTGAAGTTGTTCCTCTCTTGAATTTGGATATTTACTAATCTGTTCCTGTGTGTGCCTCATGTGCCTGGATTCTTTCTTGCATATTAGTCTCACTGCTTGCATTTGACAAGGTATTGCTGTGTTCCCCCTGTACAGATGTGTGACAGCTCAGAAGAGGGTGTTGATGGTGACCAGGTCAACATGTCAGTTGTGCATCCCACCACCCCTGCACAGTATTTCCATTTACTCCGGAGGCAAATGGTCCGAAACTTCAGGAAACCTCTCATTGTTGCTTCTCCCAAAGTGTTACTCAGGCTTCCAGTAAGCTGAAAAATGTCCTTTCTCTTTATTTTTTTCTCTTTATCCTCTTTTTTGTTGTCTTCCCCCCCTTTTTTTTTTTTCCTTCTGTGTTCTCTGATTGCTGTCTTGGGGTTAAATCAGTGGAAATTTTGCCACTTTGGGGCCAAACAGGTTGAGGATTAAAGCTGGGTGGAGATGAGCTAAAAGTAGGGTTCATTCCTGGCCTGAAGCTTATCATCTCACTTTTCACTGGGAATAGGAATACCAGGGAGAGGGGAAACTGTGTATTTTGTACTTACCAAGCCCTGTCTCAGTATTCTTTCTGACTCTGGCCTGAGGGAGAAGCAGAAAGATTTGGTAACTTCCAACTCTTCCCCCATGTAGGCTGCTGTATCAAGTTTTGAAGAAATGGCCCCAGGGACAACATTCAAGCCTGTCATTGGTGACTCCTCAGTAAATCCTAAAAGGTAGCTTTGCTTTCTTAGAGGAGAAGCTCAAAAGAGATGTCCTATCCCTTTCTCCTACCCAACAGCTCCAATTTGAGGTGATATGAAAGAGGTGACTTTGAGGGGAAAATGTTTTATGGTAGATGACTGTGGTTAGTTTTACTTCTTCTCCTTTTCCTCAGGTAACTGTTGGTAGTTACCACATCTGTCTGCAAAGCAGTGAAGTGTTTAGGCTGTCACCCCTTGGCCTCACAGGGAGTCTGTGACTGTACTTACCAACCTGATGGGGCCTATTCTGCACCATGTCCATTAGCTGACAGCCACTGGAGCAGCTGTGACACAAATCACAGAATCATAGATTTGTTTAGGATGGAAAAGACCCTTTAAATCATCAAATCCAGTCTTAGCCCAGTGCTGCCAAGTCCACCACTAACCCATGTCCCAAGTGTCACATCTAGACATTTAAATACCTCCAAGATGGTGACTCCACCACTGCCCTGGGAGGCCTGTTCAAGTGCTTGACCCTTTCAGTGAAGAAATTTTTCCTAACATCCAATGTAAACCTCCTCTGATGCAACTTGAAGCTGATTCCTCTTGTCCTATTGTGTGTTACCTGAGAGAAGAGACAAACTCTGATCTGGCTGTGACCTGTCAGGCAGTTGCAGAGAGTGAAAAGGCACCTCCTGAGCTTCCTTTTCCCCAGGCTGAGGCCCCTCAGCTGCTTCTCAGAGGACTTGTGCTCCAGACCCTTCACCGGCTCCATTTCCTCCTCTGGATGGGCTCCAGCTCCTTAATGTCTTTCTTGTCATGACTGGCCCAAAAATGAATCCAGAATTGTTGTTCTGGTGCTGGAATGCCTGAGCTGATGAGGTGGGGCTGTAACAAAATGTGTGTACATCTCTGTACTTTCAGATGTTACAGTGAATCCTGTTCACAACGACCAATTCAGCCTTAATATTTTTCCCCTTATTTGCTGCTTGCCCCAGTAGTATCCAAGACTGAGCCTCCCTTCTCTTCACTTCCTGACCCCCATCAAAAGGCTGGAAGTACCTTAGCATGCTGGGTTTTTTAAGTGGGATAGTGAGGCACAAAGGGTATAGTTTATCTCATTGCTTTTTCCAGTAAGATTAGGCAGCCAAGACCTCTGTGACTGCAGGAGGGTGTAGTGTCTCTCCAGCAGGCAGTCCTGCTTTGGCATGGCAGAGAATTGTCCTCTGGAAGGACTTCTCTCCCTCTGGATTATTTTCTACAGAGAGTGCAGAGATGACTAGCTTTGACTGGGTTTAATTTTTAATAGTCAGAGCTAAAAGAGATCAATCCCACTGTAAGGTAACCTTCCCAAAATTACTGAAGAAACAGGACCTCTGGCATACTGTGCTCAAAGGTTAGTTTGCCAGCTGTTGGAAGGAGTGGGAGGGAAGGGAAGGCAAGGAAGAGAAAAGATGGTCTAGGGAAGCAATTTAGCTCTGTGAAGTTGTCTTTGAAGTTTGACTGGTTTTTTTTTTGGTTAGAAGTGTTCTTCCAGCTGTTCTTAATCAAGTTTCTGTAAAACACTAAACTTGGAAACATTCTTTTTTACTTTTTTTAGTGTCACCCAAGTGGTCCTGTGTTCTGGAAAGCATTACTATGCTCTGGTGAAGCAAAGAGAAACACTGGGAGAGAAGCAGCACAGCACAGCTATTCTGAGACTTGAAGAGCTCTGTCCTTTCCCCCTGGAAGCTCTACAGCAAGAGCTGAGCAAGTACAGCCATGCAAAAGGTCAGCCAAGCTTCTACCTTTGTGTTTCTAGTCTCTTTGAAGTACTGAACTAAATCTGTTGCCTTGTAAGATGAAGAGCTGTAGTGGCTTTTTCCTCTTTGTTCTCCCCCTCATACATCCAAGTGTTTCTGGAGTGGGATGTTTCAGAAATGTTTATCACTTGTGTTAAAAGAACTCTTTTCTCTGCTATTGTTAGCTTCCAAGAAGCAGCACTGAAAATCAGAGCAAACCATTTGAGATATTTTTTGTATTGGCCTTTGCAGTCCAGTTATTTTAGTAGCTTTTGAAAACAGCAGTGGAAAAGCAGAATATACACATAGTATACCCTAATGGTGGACATACTTTGGGTTTGAATTCAGTTCTGAGCTGCAAGGGAATTAAGTCTGGCATGCCTTCATTTCAAAGATAGTGCCAAGACAAAAAAAAAACTAGAGGTGCTACAAAAACAAAAAACTGTTTTTCTTTCTCTTCTGAAAAGATAAATATGAATGTTTGTTATGTACCCTTATCCTTCCTTTAGTCTTCATCTGGAGTCAGGAAGAGCCACAGAACATGGGTCCATGGTCCTTTGTGTCTCCACGGTTTGAAAAGCAGCTGGGGCTTAAGGTAAGATGTCCCCAGGGTGTTTTAGTCTTTAAAATGAAGTTTGAAATTCTCCTTGAATTGCTTAACAAAGAACCTAATCTTGATTCCTAAACCAAATGTGTGTTCTAATTTCAGCTACTTCTGCTCTTTTTAGCACTATTGGTGAAGAGCAGGACTGGAGCTTTATTTCATATAGTGTTCAGTCAAAGTGGACAGGATAATGAAAGATCCCAAGTAGGGGAGTAGGAGGAGAATGCCAAGGTGCCATTTGTTCTGGCAGATCATGCACTACAAAGTCCTTGGAGCCATGGTCTTTAGGAGATGGGGGATAACTTCCTGCATTACTTCCAGCTGGGACTGCCCAGTTATCTGACAGCAGATATCACTGTGGCATCAGGACCTCGAGATGTGATTCTGTCCTTCATTAATTATTTTATCACAACTCAAATTTCAGCTCCGTCTTGTGAGCAGACCTCCTCTACCAGCCCCAGCAGTTGGCATTGGAACTCTCCACAACAAGCAGCAGGAAGATGTTCTGACCCACACATTTATCTAAGTTTTCAGTGGATGGATTGCTCCTGATGTCAGTCATGTTCAGTGCCTCCTCCTGTGAAGAACAAAAGCCAGATCCTCAAGACTCTTAGTTCTCCAAAATGGAAAAAAAAAAAGGTGGAATAAATTTAGTAATGATGAAGCAATTTTTTCATGTTGGGGAATACCTAACAATGAGAAGTGCCTGTTACTCCTGATATTTCTTGTTCTCTTATACAGTTTTCTACAAAATGTCTTTATAAAGTTAAAAATCCAGTGCAGGGGACAGATTGGTGAGGTGACTGTGGAATACCTTACCTTGCTGCTTATTTGCACTTGACAGTTTCCTGGGATGGTGCGTGTGTGGAAACACGTTCTGTTTCTTCTCTTCCTACAGAAGTGTTAGTACTGCTTGATCAAATAAATGCTTCCCCATGCCTGGGAATGAGCCATTTCTATAGCAGAATGTTGTGGATTATCTCTTTTTTCTTTCCTTGAGGATCAGGAATGCAATCTGTTGTGGCTGTTGGTGCTCTTCTCAGTGTATGAGTTGTTAAAGCAGGATTTCCATTGGAGGCACCATGCAGGATGGCTCCTGAAGGCTTCAGGCATCACTGTTTTTCTCACCCAGCGGGTGAGAAATCCCAAGGAATGGTTTCAGCACGGCTGTCATCTGGAGAAAGGAAAGAAACCAATCTTTATTGAGAAACAAAGGATAAAGGACCAAAACATTGAGGTTAAGTGGGAGACTAATGAAACCAAATGGAAGACAGGCATCCCAGGCTGACCCCAGTATTGACTGCCCCACAGCAGCATTTCCACTACCACAGGATTTCTCCCAGCATTTTTCCTGTCCTGGTTTCAGGGTGAAGTTGGCACCTCCTTGCTCTTCTCAGTTACCTGTGCAAGCAATGCCTAAGCAGTCCAAACTCACTGTGAGCCAGAGAAAATTTTGAAAAGAAACAAGTGGGGTTTAACCAGACCCAGCACTTGCAGATGGAAAGTCATGGTAGGTGGAAAAAGCAGATCACACAGGCAGGGTGTGTGTTCACTTGGGGAGACAGCTCCCAAAATCATCTCAAGCAGGCTTTAGTATTTCATCTTAGTTAATTGACATGCTCATTAATTAACTCCATGTGATCCAGAAGTTACCTCTGTCACCTCTTGTTTCACATCACTGCTTTAGTGCATCCATCACAGCCACATGAAGTCATGTTTCTCCCACTTTGCTCTGGGCTTTGCTCTGGCAAACTGCACAACCTGAGCAGCTTTATCTAATCAAGACATATTCTGCTTTAAATTTCTGCTGAGAACTAGAAAAAGGAGGCTGAAGAGCAAAGTTGCTTTGGCTGCAGCTGTAGCCAAGGAAGTTGCAGAGCGCAATCACCAGCCTTGACTGCACACTGATGATTACATAAACCCACAGTTTTCGTGCACACAAGGGAAGCAGAGACCCCATGTTTTGAGTTCCATGTGGCCCAAACCTGACCTTGTTACACACCATTCCCCACAGGCTGTGCAGGTCTGGTTATCCAACCAAATAAAGGATGCTCAAGTGTTCTGACCCTGTTTGATCCTCCTGGTGGGAGACAAAGCTATTCCTGTAGTGCTGCTTGGCTCAATGTCCCCAGCCCCGTCGTGTGCCACGGAGCTCCCCAGGGATCCCGGGGTAGGGAGGGAGAGCTTGAGCACAGCTTTGCTCAGTCAGCTGACACAGACTGCCTGCAGAACACTGCTCTTGCCTGAGGGATAACAGCTCCCAGGAGCAAGGCAAGGTGTGTGCTGACTGAGGGGCTGACACTGTTTCTCCCAGCAGTTCTGGGTGCACACATTCCCTCTGTGTGCCTTGCTCTTCTCTGCATGCTGGCTGGGACATCCTGCACGGTGCTGGGCTGCTTTTGCTTTGGGGAGAAGAGAAGCAGAAATCAGATTAGGACCATAGGATATCCTGAGTTGGAAGGGGCCCACAAGGATTGAGTCCAGCTGCTGGCCCTGCACAGGACACCCCAAGAGTCACAGCATGTGCCTGAGCTGCCACACACAGGCTGAGGGAGAGGGAACAGCAGGTCCCAGTCCTTGGACAGGAAATTCTGTGGGTCATTAACACAGGGAGAAGCGAGTCTTAGATAGCAAGGAGCTAACTAGAGAGAGAGAATTACAGCATTTGTGCATTGTGGTGTGTCAGGATTTTCAGAGAGAAGTGCAAGACTAGTAGGAAAAAAAATGAAGACATGAAGGAATGCGCTCTTAGATGGAGCAGTTCATTAAAGGCAGCAAAAGGTCTCAGAAAGAAAACACACCAGGAAAATATATTAAAACAAGTATTTTTATACCAGTGATGTTATTTTAGATTTAAAAAATACAGTCTAAACTTTGAAGATGAAAAGTTCTGTACACAGTTGTATTTTTAATAAGCAAAGAAAAAAATACTGCATTTTCATTTTTTTGTTTTTGTCAGTGAACAAGATATCATAGAAACATTTGTTCAGCACACCTGAAGTGGTGTATCTGTGTCAGTATGGACTGAAGAAACCTTCTGGACCTTTTACCTTTTATCAAACACCAAAACAGTGGCCAGTGACTTAGAGAGAGGAGGGTTTGCAAACAAAACCTGTAATTTCATGAACTCAAATAAATATGGCTAAAAATCTGAATGAAGGGTGATTACAAGAAATTTCCTGAAGCTTAGCTACTAACCCAGCTATTATTTGGAGATTATGATCTACAAGTACAGTGCCAGGCACATTAATTATGAGCATTTGTCAGACTGTGCAAGAACTCTAGGTGAAAGTAATTGCTATGGAGTTGCTCATTAGTGTTTGTTAAGTTATGAGTATATAAAACTGGCAGAAAAAACTTGTCAGTGATTTCAGATAAGGGAAGCTATTGAACAAAGTCACTTGGGTATTGTAGCAAGGTCTTAGTTAAGAGGATTTCTTAGGGAATGCAGAGTGCAATCCAAAATATAGATTCAAAGGTTTTGGAGCAGTCCTCATGCTTCACACATTTTGTGTTCTCTTTTGGTAACTTAGTCTAATACAGGAAGAATTCAAGCTTCTGCATCAGATCAGTTATTCAGAAAGAATAAACACTATTTTTAATTGTCATATCTAAATCTTGCAGTAAATTCTGATGATCCTAATTTTATATACCACTGGCTGTTGTAACTGAGAGCTCTGTAGGTGTGATACCTATTTTGGTGATTGAGGGATGATATTGGAATAGGTTTTCAGGTTCACTTCAGACAATCACAGAATCACAAAATCAATTAGATTGGAAAATTGGTTAGTTAGATAGGTTGAGTCCAACCTATGACTGAGCACCACCTTGTCAACCAGACCATGGCACTGAGTGCCACATCCAGGCTTCCCTTAAACACCCACAGGGGCAGTGACTCCACCAGCTCCCTGGGCAGCCCATTGCAATGTCTAATCACCCCTTCTGTGGAGAAATTCCTGCCAATGCCCAACTTAAACCTCGCCTGGCGCACCTTGAGGCCGTGTCCTCTCCCGCTGTGGCAGGTGAGCCAGGAGCAGAGCCCGACCCGCACATGGCTTCGCCCTCCTGTCGGGGAGTTGTAGGGAATGACAAAGGCAGCCCCAGCCTCCTTTTCTCCAGGATGAACAATCCCAGCTCCCTCAGCTGATCCTCAGGGGACTTGTGCTTCAGACCCTTTCCCAGCTCTGTTGCCCTTCTTTGGACGCGCTCCAACGTCCCAATGTCCCTTCGCCCCGTGAAATTATCACACCCATCTGTCCACACGGGTGGACTGGGCTGTTAACAAAACACTTCGGTACCAAACCCTGCCCGTGCCTTCCACCTGGTACTGCCGTACAGCACCACGGAGCCGCCAAAGCCGCGCCCGCTGAGCGAGTGAGGGGCGGGCGCTCTCCCGCTCGGGCAGGGCCGAGCTGCGGCTCTGAGGGGCCGTGCCCGCCCCCGGCGCCGCGCGGAGCACTCCGGGAGCGCGCTCCTTCGCCGCGGCGGCTGCCCGCCCTCAGCCTGCTCCCGNCATCCGGCTCCCCGCGCCTGGGGAAGGGCGCGGGGGGCGCTCCGTGAGGGCGGCAGCGCCGCGTCCCCCCGGGCGGGGAGGGACGGCCCGTCCGCAGCGCGCGTCACGTGACGGCGGCGACAGCGGCGGTGACAGCGCTGGGACCGCGGCCGGGCCGCCACCGCCATGGGCAGTGAGTGCGGGCACAGCCGGGAGGCAGCGGGCCGGGAGCCGGGGCGGGGAACAGCGGCTCCCCCGGGCGGCGCGGGGAGGGCGAGGCCGGTGGCCCGCGGCCGGTGATGCGGCGCCGTGCTCCGGGTGCCGCCGCAGGCAGGGCCGGCGGTCCGAGCGCCCGCTCCCTCACAGGGTCGGTGCTGCCGGGCACGGCGTGAGGGCGGGCGCTGCTTCGTGGTGGGTGTCCTGTTCCACTCTAGCCCTACTATATATATATATATATATGCGCACCATATACATAGTATACACCTATGGAGCATATATACCTGGTGTACACGTACGTATGTGTGTATAAGTGTCTAAAGGGCGGGTGTCAGAGGATGGACCCGGCTCTGCTCAGTGATGCCACCCAAAAAGACAAGAGGCAAAGGGCAGAAACTGATGGCCAGGAAGTTCCACCTGAACATGAGGAAGAATTCCTGTCCTGTGCAGTGACCAAACACCAGAACAGATTGTGCAGAGAGGTTGTGGAGTCTCCCTCACTGGAGATATTCCAGAAGTGTCTGGACACATCCCTGTGCTCTGGGATGCGTGAGCAGGGAGGTCGGAGCGGATGAGCCCCGTGGTCCCTTCCAAGCTGACCCGTTCCATGATGCTCTGATGGCTTGTTCACGCTGGAGCTGTGCCACCCTCTGTGGAGGGAGGTGCACCTTCCAGCTGTGTGAGGGCTTGGGATACATAGAGGAGACATATGTCACATCAGAGTGTACATGTAAACATGGCCCCACAACCAAAATGTTACTTATGGTGTAATAAATGCATTCTGCAATGTAATAGATGCATTCTCTTTGAAAAGGAACCAGTGGTGGTTTTTTATATCTGTCCCAGTGTGTTGGGGCTGGAAATAATGTTCAAGTTTTGAAGGGCAAATTCCCCACCAAGCACATACGCTTTGATTTTTTTTTTCCCCTAAATTGATTTCATTTTTTTTTCCCTGAAAAAGAACTCAAACTGTTGAGCATTTCTGTGTTTCTAAAGGGGAAACTGTGAAAAGAGATATATTAAAACTAAAATAAAACCCCCTGAAGTTCCAATCAGAGTAAATGTTGCACTCATTTAAATTACCATTTCTAAACATTTTTTAACAATTTAATTATTTTTTTCAGCTAAATACTTCAGTAAACACAAGATGCTAATCTCTCTATTGATGCCTTTTGATGTCAGTACCATTCTGTGTTTAACTAGCACAGACTGATACTAGGTCATTTATTTTTAGATGGAATACAATTCAGATCACT